AGTAGTTACTCGACCACGGTGCCATATCATAGCACCTCTGTAGCACAGGAGGGTCTCGCTCTTCCACCGACTCGTCGCCGCTTCCACAGGTTCAACCTGTTCGCTTCAAGAAGGGCGCCGATATCCGGATGATATCCGGGTGGCTGCCTTTCTGGTTGTTACGCCGACTTTACAAAGCGAAGAGACGATCATGACCCGGCTCCTCCGCGTGCTGCTCATGCTCACGTTCCTCGTGCTGGCGCTGGCGCTGGCGCCGTCGACGGCCGCGCCGAGCAGCAAGAAGCTCGAGACGAAGCGCTCGTTTGCGGACGACCGCATCCGCATCGAGTTTTGCTCGTCCTGAGGCTACGCCAACAACTACCGCGAGGTCCAGAAGTACCTCGAAGCCAACTACCCCCACCTCATTGGCCGCATCTCGGGCGGGAACGCGCTGCCGCCGCCATGGAAGCAGCAGCTCGCGACCGTCGTTGGCTACCTCCAGATGGCCGGCTTTGCCTTCCTCCTCGCCGGCGAGCACATTCTCAACGCGCTCAACCTTCCCGCCGACATGCCGCTGCTTGTACAAATGCGCGAGAACAAGTTTGCAGCCTTTGCCGGCCTCATGATCCTCGGCAGCATCTCGCAGTCGATGCTCGCCACCGGCGCGTTCGAAGTCTACTTCAACGGTACGATGGCGCCTTATTAGCTTGCCAATCACATTCTATTATAGACGAGCTGGTCTTCTCCAAGATTCGCATGAACCGATGGCCCACGATGCAGGTGCGTGAGCAATGTGTGCAGCGCCCGAGCGAATACGTGTTGTAGGAACTGATTGAGCTCCTCCAAGCCGCGGGCCTCCAGCGCCCGTACTAGGCGCACGCTCGCCGCGCTAGCAATGTGCTGCGTCGCTCATGGCCTCGGCCCCGCGCCCTCTGAATGATGGGTCGCCTAGAAACCAGATTCTGGATGGGCGACCTGGAAAATGAACTGGCGCGGGGTGCATCCGACCAGAGGCTGATGTCGCGCGATCTACGGGGGTAGAGACGCGCTGCAGCTGGCCACTCGTCGAGCATGCCGTCCGAGGCATCGTAGCTCGTGCCACGTAGCTAGCGATCGCGAATGTAGTCTCCAACACACTAGTTGGACTTTGCCTTTGACGTTGTCGTTGGACTTGACCGTTTATTGACTTGGCCGTTGGGCCATGGCGCAGGGGCACGCGTAGCTTTGAGAGGCGGGTACGATGGCATTGTCATCCCGTCGCGCTAAGGCTGTCGCTGTTCTCGATGGTGCGGTGCAGTGTATGAGTGCGGCGGATGTTCCGACGTCCAGGGACTTTCCGGCCAAGATGGATGGATGAACGTGACACGTGAGTTACGCTTTGCGTACCAGATTCCGGCTTTTGTTCCGACGCAATGGGCTCCGGAATCTTCAGTGGTAGCAACCAACGCGATCTTGGCGACGCTTGGCCAAGGGTCATAGGAGTTGTTGTTCTGTACTTTGACCTCAGAGTTATTCTACCATTTTGCTCCTATCTTGCGGACTCTAGTAGTGTAACAGGACCAAGCAAATTCATTCTCTTGAGCGAACCCGTGCTCCCATCCACTTAAGTACGGGGTATGACGATGTGCCAGAGCCTAGGCGGCGCCCCTTTGGCTGGCCGAGCGCAACGAACGGCTTGAAAATGGAAGGGTCGCAAGATTCGCTGTGAACTAAGAAATGAGAGGTCGCGAGGAATCTCGGATGCCCATTGCAAGTGAACGCGCCAGCGTATCTCGCTCCGTGCGCTCACGTTACTCACTGCGTCAATAGCTGAGGTTTTGTAAGCCACTTGGTGGTGCCCTGTTACACGAAACGACTGGTGGATCTCGGGTCTTGCGCATCCGGCAGTCGTCAAATTTCTCTGCCACTTTGCACATACGCGAGCGTGCATGGCGCCGCCCAGCGCCTGGTCGCAGTACAAGGAGGCGGTGCTGCAGGTCGCCACGACGTCCACCGCCACGTGCCAAGCGTGCAGCGCCAAGATCAGCGCCGGCCAACTGCGCCTCGGTGTCATGTACCTCCACGTCGACGGCTTCATGCTCATGGAGTGGGTCCACGTCTCGTGCGAGCCGTCGCTGCCCGCCGCCTTCGACACGATCTCGTTCATCGAGACAGGCGTCGACCCGGACCACGCCAAGCGCATTCTCAGCTGGGTCTCGATCTGCAAGACCAAGCCGTCGACGGCCAAGGAAATCTACGAGCTCGAGACGCACCAGATGAGCCGCAGCCGAAAGATGACCGCCTAAGTTATGCGAAGACAAGAGATGCTTCCTTCTGTCTCGCCCTATCGCCGTGTCGAGAGGACAAACGATCGGCGTGGCTCCTGGCAGCTTCAAGGACATGGTCGACGGGCTCTTTGGGTTACAACGCTGATGCACACTACTCTTCGGCTTCGTTGTGCTTGGCCTTGAGCGACCACTTGTCGCGCTTGATGTCAAACTGCAGCGGCGCCCAGTGGAGGTGTTCGGGGCACACGTGCGGTCCCTTCTTCGTCTAGACACAGCCATCGACATCGTAGTCGAGCACGTAGCGCATACCACTTTGTTGAGCTGCTCTTCGACTGTCTCGGCGCGTAGCACAAAGACGTACTGGCCGTTGAAGTACCTACACCATCATACTACGTCTACATTGCAGACAAATCGCGTATGTACTTGATAATGTTGAGATACTGGAGCGTCGCGATCACGTCTTCGTTCTTGATGGACGTGAGCTTGGTGAGGTCCATGACCGAGAGCTCGTGCGGGTACTCTTTCAGGATGCCGAGGAGCACCTTGGTCCAGTAGCTGCGGTAGCTCACGAGGCCGAGGTCCGAGAGCGGCTTCTCGGGCGACCCGACTTTCTCTTCCTTCTTGGAGAGCTCGTACGAAAACTGGATGATAAAGTTGCCATAGCCCTTGCGCTGGTGGCACGGGAACGTCAGAATACAAGCGAGGTTGTACCCGAGCTCCGAGTACTTTTCCTTCGAAAAGTACCCGACCGGGTGGAAGCCCCTAGTCCATAGAACTACATAGTAAGACGAAAGGACATATTGAACAAACCGGTCGTCAATCTCGCACAAAATGTAAAACAGAAACGGGTCGACGTCGTAGTACAGCGTCTTGTGGTCGAGAAAGAGCTTGGCAAAGTAGCAGAGGTTCTGGCAGTACGGCTTGGCGATTGCGCCATCGACCTAGGATGTCACCATGACGTCATTTGCTCAACGAGTGAAATGGGCACGACCTCGAACACGGCGATGCCTTCGTGGCGGTAGATCTCGTTGCCCGGCGGGTGCTACGCTATCGATGAGACGCTGCAGCGATAGCATCTCACGGGACCCGCACGCAAGCAACGCGTTCGCGGTGGTGGCGCAGCTCCGACTTGAAGCGGAAGAACGAAAAGCAAAATTCGCAAAAATAGAGCTACAGCACGGTCATATTTTCCCATGGCGAAGAGACGTACGCAGTCAATGTTGCCGTCCGGGATAAACTCCTTTGGGAACGGGGAGAAGTACCACGCAGCCATCCGGTGCTTGCCAATCTCGACGAACCGCACGTTCTAACACAGCTCGAGCGACCAACGGCAGAGGTTTAGCGCGTACCTTGACCTTGGTGACCTCTTCGTGCTCGCGGATACTGGCAGCGTCCATGCCTTCGTGCTCGTCATGCTCGTCCGGCTCCGCGTAGTCGTCCTAATGCATACGTAAGAGGTTGTCTGGTTGGATGGCGATGCTGCCACCTCGGCGTCGGTCTTGCGCTTCTGGCCGCGCGTCCGCGTCTTCTCGCCAGGCGGTCCGTCGACGAGCGCCTCGGCCGTCGTCTTCTTGTTGGCTTCTGTCGTTGCTAGCATGAGCGTGTCGCTGCGGTTAATTGGGACCACCGACGTACCGTCGTGCGCCTCCTTCTCCTTTGCATGCTTCTCCTGGAGCTGCTTCGTCTCTTCCTCGGTCCCTTCGCGCACGACTTCGTCGGCGTTGATCCACTCGTCCATGCGCCGATTGAACTACGTCCTTGCATGAGCACCATCCAAGCAAAAGCGATCGCGTACGTCATGCCAATGGACGTAGTACCGGATCTTGCCTTGTGCGATGACCTCTACGAGTCGCCTTCCTTAGCCGCCGGTAGCCGCGTCGAGGACGTACTCCGGTCGATCACGACGCATGTGCGCTCCGTCTGGCCCATCCACATGGCCACCAGCGTCGTCCCGACGGCGAAGCCTTCGATCGCGGCAGGTGCAGCCGCGGTGCTCGGGGCCATCCTCCTCGCTTTTCGAATGTATCCGGATATGGCGACCCGTTGGTTTCGGCATGTGCCACAAATACCAAGATCGCCGGCCGCCATGACCGCAGCTGCGCTGCTGTCGTTCGCCGCCACCGAGCGCGTACATGCCCATCTACCGGTCGTCGCGGCCTTGGACGACAAGCATGCGCAGCTCATGACGCTGCTCGCAGCGCACCTGCCGGTCCCCGACTGCAAGGCGGCGCTGCATCCGCTGACGCTCGGCGACTTGGTATTGTCCATTGAAGCTGCACAGCTCCACACACCACTGGGCATCGTCCTCGCTCTCTTGCACATCGACGACAGCTACCGCTTCTGCCACGCCATCCATACGTGGCACGATGCTAGTGCGACATTGCAGGACGCTGGCGCCCGGCTGCAGACGCTGAACGTGCTCGTGGATACAACACTGCGATCGCTGCGGACTGTAGACCACGAGCCGACCGCCATTGCCGCGCTGCACACAGCTTTGGCGTCATCGTCTTGCGCGTGCTTGCATGCGCATCTGGAGCCATCGCGTGTCGTCGCGTCGTCGCGTGGGCTGCGCCCACATGCGACGCCGCTGCAAGACGTGCTCGATCTCGTCGTCCGGGTCGCCACATCGTACTCGAACCTTTGTCAATCAACGCACAAGAAGTGTCCTTCGGTCGTGCTCGAGCTGCCGCCTCTCGAGACGTTTGCATCTGTTGACGACGCGATGGCAACCTCGTACACGGACGAGCTACCAGGACACGAGATGGAGCCGCGACTCGAAGAGTGGTGGCCGCGCGCCACGTCGACAACAGACGCACAAGACGCGACGCAGTCGTTTGCCCGGCTCATCGCGCTCGGCAGTGCACAATGGAGCACGACCACTATCATGTGGCTGCAGACGTATCTCGCTGAGCTCACGGACCTCGACCGGCTCTCGATCGCAGTCGAGTGCATTTGCCGCCAGCCGCCCTTTGCCGCGCCCGACGTGTCGGCCTCTGTGGCCAAGGCCTTCAACACGCTCACGACCGACCATAGAAAAGGAAGCCTCGCCATGCTCTTGCGCTGCGTCGCGTGGGCCCCAGAGTCAGTGTTGCACCGTCTTCTCCAGAATGGCGTCGCTTGTCCCGAGCACGTGCCTGTGTATCTTCGCCTCTTGGAGCTCGCACCGTCCTTGGCGCAGTCAACGCAGCTGCTACCGTCTCTTGGCCATCTCGTGCAGGTGCTGACGACCGAGACGCTGGCGTCCACCGCGCACTTATTCGCGGAGCTGACATCTCTCGGCGTGACGACCATGCTCGACGTCGTCGGCACTTGCATCTTGCCGCATCTGCGTGGCGTCAACGACCTTGGCTGGGACCTTCTCACTGTGCTCTCGCCCTGGACTTCCGTGTCGGACGCAGAGATTGGCGCGGAGCTTCTCGACCGCACATGTGCCACGTTGGCAACGGCGTGGGCATCAACGGGGGAGGCACAGGCTGCCGCGCGCCTTCTCCCGATCGCCCGCAACCTCGCCGCCGTCGTCACGCACCCGACAATCTCCAAACTCGAAGCGTACGTGACGTCCAAGGACATTCGTTTGGTGTTGTTGCTGCTGCCGCTGTTCCCGTCGACGCCACTTCCGCTGCCGACACTGTCCGAGTCGACCGATGGTGTATACACGCTGTCGAAAGCCGACGTTGGCAACATCTTCATGGGTGCATTGCTGCTCTGTGCGTCGGCGGTCGCACTGCTGCCGTCACTGGCCACTTCATTGCGTCAAGGTCGCTTGGCCGTGGCCGGCGTCCCGGCCTGTCCGCCGATGTCGATGCTTGCTCTTCTCTCGACGTGGGTTCTACCATCCCTTGCGACCAGCGACGACGGCACCCGCTTTGTCTTTGAGCTCCTGCCGCAGCTGCTGCCGCCCGACCAAAACACACCGCTCGATGCGACGCTGTGCGTTGCCCGGGGCATGCTTCTTCGAGGATTGGCGACCAAGAGCAGCTGGGACCGAACGTCGATGGGCCATGTGCTGCACTGCATTGAGCACTGCATCGTCCAGGATCCGTCATCGGTGTCGACGTACCAAGGACTGCTACCGCTTGTGTTGTGGCTTCTTCGCGAGACGCCGTGCGGCCACGACGACGATGTGCTGCTCATGACGCTGCGCAAGATGACACGCGCGTGGCATGACCATCTGCCGCCCGAGACGCTCGGCGAGCTCCACGCGGTCGCCCTCGAGCTTTTGAGCAAAAATGTAGCGCCGACGAAGACGATCTTCCGCCATGTGCACAGTCTGCTCACACAACCTCGTCGGACGACTCCCCTACCCCCATAAAGAAATTAAATCAATCTATCGAAACATAGAGAGTTTCCGATCTTGTTGCGAAGCGACGCCAGCATGGACAGCGTCGACTGGAAGGCGCTCGGACTCACGATGGACCAGGCGGGGGCGCTCGTCGCGGCCTTCAGCAAGTACGACAAGATGAAGACGGGCGCGATCCCAGTCGACGCGCTCGATGCGCTCAGCGTCGACCTCGGCGAGACGTTTGACGACGAAGAGATGCGGGTCGCCAAGCAGAGTCTTCAGGACGGCGACGTCATTCGCCTCGAGGCTTTTCTCAAGTGGTGGGCCCACGACCCAAAGCTCACATAGATAGCCTTGTGCAGGCAGCTCAAATGTCCACACGTACTCAACCTTTGTTATTCGTAAGCAAGGCATGCATGGCGCAGAGCTACTGCCATCGTCGATGGCTCTAGTCGAAACAACGTTGGTTGAAGTGACTCGTGGAAGTATGATAGACTTGGGAGTCGCCACGAGAGAACTAGCCCTTGGCGATCTCGCGCGCTTGCTTTTTGAGCGCGGCGGCAACTGCCGTCTTGACCTTGAGCGCGCGTGTAATGAGCTCCCGCCGCTTTTCTCTACGGTTCGATGCACGCGACGTCACGACATGTAGAGATCAAGTTGATACTTGGAATGCAAGACGAGATTCTTCTCGTGCAGTCGTCGCAGCAGCTCGGGCGCCGTGGCAAGTCCGGCGTTGCCAGAGAGGTCGACAACCTTGAGGTTCTGGAGTGAGTTGAGCGACTTTGGCAGGTACACAAGGTCGTTCTGCGCGAGGCTGAGCACCGAGAGGCTTGTCAAGTGCGCAAATTCGTCCGGTACATCGCGGATTGCGTTGTGCTGGACGTACAGTTCCTGGAGCTTACTGCAGCTCATAAGGCTCAGTGGTAGTGACCGAAGGCGATTCGCTTGTGCAAAGAGCTGTCGGAGGCGCGGGAGGCCGCCAATGTCGGGCGGAAGGTTGGTGAGCGCGTTCTCGGCCACGTTGAGGACTTCGAGGAGCGGGACAGACTCAACGAGGTCAATGCTAATATGAATGAAACAAATAATGAACGAAAGGAGGCAAGGTACGGTAAGCTCGAGAGATGGTTGTGCCGGAGATTGAGCTTCACCAGCGTCGAGAAGCCAAGAACGATCGGTGGTACATGCTGCAACTCGAGGTCGGCGAGGTTGAGCTCACGGCCTTGCGTGAGCTTGTCGCACTTGGCGACGCGATCGCCGACATCGGCTGCCACGTCCGTCTCGGTCGCGCTCGTCATGAGGTTTTGGGGTTTTCAATAACCGACGCGGCGTTTCTGACAAACCGGAGCCCTAGTTCGTTGCCTTGCTGTACGTGGCTAATATCAACTGACCGATGTACACCTTGACACACCTATTGAGACCAGTCGTTCCATCTCCTAGTTATAGAATTCCTTGTGTATCCCCTTTCTAGCGTCAATGAGCCCCACCAGTAGTTTTGCTCTGCAAGTGAACAGTCTGTGTTACTCAACAGAGTTCAAGCGGCGTGGGAATGTGAGAGCTCTTGAAGCTTCGAGTACTGCGCTTGGAGCTTCTCGCGGTACACCTTTTTGAGAGCCGTCGAGTTGGAGTGTTCTGTAGAAAATCAATATCACGTCATAGTCTCGTGCGATGAGAGAGCGCCATGTACCGAGGGCGGCAAGCGACAATGTCATAAACTTCTCGGCGTGCTTGAGCTCTTGGTTTCGGTAGCAAGAGACACCCTACCTCGGTTGAATATGTGATGAAATCACACTGAAATCGTACGAAGTTCCATGCTTTGGTGAGAAGCCATTCGACATCGTCATCGGACAACGTGATCTCGAGGCTTGTTGCAATTTGACGCGCTTGGTGCAGCCACTCGTAGCCCTCTTCCTTGGTTTGTGCGAGAGCGATGATCTTCTTGAGCGGATATGTGACTGTGGCGGCGTCGACCTTCTCCTTCTGGAGCTCGAGCTGCAAACTACAAGGTGGTTTAACATCGATGACGTGGCAGGAGTCATATATAACCTGAGCTTGTAGAGCTGAGACGCAACGGGCCGCAGAAGACCAGGTGCTCCCTTGAGGGATAATAAGTTTTGTGATCGAAAAAGCGGTAGACCTCGTTCAGAGACTGCTTGGATGTGTAGAGTACAAAATCTAAAACATGAGCCGGCGAAGATGGAATTTCAGCTCACCACCCAGCTCGCGTAGCTTTTCTGGTGTCCGTAACACGTGCTTCATGTGCTGGTCGACGAATTCCGTGCCTTGAACTGCAAGTAGTTTGACGTTGATCTTGAATGCACTGGTCGCCTATTCTTGTCGTGAGCTCTTAAATGGCCGAACGAATCAATTCTACCAAGTAGTCGAGAATGCGCGAAGTGTCGCCATCGCCATCGATCTTGGACAAGCTCTTCTCGATCGTGGCCAATACCTATTTCAATGCGCTGGCGTGAAGCACATAACACCATCCTCGAGATTACTTCGCGAAGCTCCACGTCGGAGAGAGTGTCGAACGACTTCATGCGAATGCACGACGCAGCGAGCCAGCACTTTTCTTCGCGACTTCGCAGCTTCGTGTTGTTTGGAAAGTATGCCTCAGCCTTCACGGCAACGTCGGCTGCCAGCATGAAACACACCCAGTTTTCCTTGTTGCAGCCGAGGTTATGGCTATTCAAGGTTCAGTAATGTGAGGTCAAAGAAGTCGACGACAAACCAAACGCCGTAGAACCACTCAAAGACGGATGGCGGGCCAAATGCAGTGTCCGCTTGAGTTGGGTCAATCTTGTCGAGAATGCTCAAAAGATCGCGCAGGTAACGCATGAAATTCGAAATCGACGTGTCTTCGTCGAGGGACTCATCGCTACACAGTGCGTTGCGCGTCAATGCAAAGCGCACGATCAAGGAAAATATCAAAGACCTGTTGTTGAGCTGCGCCATGTTTTGGAACAACACGCCCATCGGCAGTTGCGGCACGTCACCCGTTTGCAAAATGTGAGTCACAAGCATGCGGCTAAAGCTGTCGAGCACTTGAAGCACGACAGCGGGGCTGCCAGCTTCGTGGGCTTCTTTGGCAAACATGACCAAGTCGTACACGTCAAAGTCGTCCAAGTTGATGAGCTTGGTGACGAGCTCCGTGATATCGGATGGTGCAGGAGACGGCCCCGCGAGGTGCGCCCGGAAGCACGCGAAGAGCGACTTCTTGGACAATTCTTTTCCGAGTGCATCGTGCGCATAACGAACGGCATCGTCGAATTCTCCCAGCTTGACCTTGGCGCGGGACATGAGCCTAGTTCATTGTGTTTAGATATGGGTGCAATGAGATTGGCAAGCACCGGAAGGAACACGCTTGATCTTCCGGCGTTGATGACAGAATCATGCCGATGCGTGCCCACTGAAAGTACTCCTATGCATGGACATAGGTTAAAGAATAACGCACATACTGATGGAACATACGTCGTGCAGGTTGTAGTTGTGGGCGTTGCAGGACCCGTCGTGGATCACCTTCTTGAGCCGTGCTTGCTGCTCCGAGGTGCACGGCTCCTTGACCATGCGTTCCACGATCGCAATCGTTTGGCAGCGCAGGTTCTTGTCGTTGGAGAAAGCGAGCTCGTTCGCAATGTCGGCGTCAATGTTCCAGGCCGCGTCGGGAAAGTTGTGCTGCAGGTTGTGCCACAGATCGAGCGCCGGTGCCGCGTACTCGGTCGCATGGGCAAAAAGGCGCGTCGCTGTATGTGCTGCGTCAAAGTCGTCACCGTTCTACGTTTATGCCATGGCCTCAAAACATTCACTGATAAAAATGGTACCTGTAGCTTCTCGACCAAATTTGCCGCGGCAGTCCAATCCTGGCGCTTGAGGTATAGCTTGACGCCGTGGAGAAGCCCGTCGGTGGCCCCGAGCAAGCGCAGACACGCTTCTGCCTTGTCGAGCAGCTCCAAGTCCAGGTACACGTCGGTGAGGCGGCCTATGATCATGGCGCGCAGCTTCTTGTTGCGACGACGGTCGCACTGCTCGACGATTTCCAGGGCGACGGCCAAAAGTGTGCTTTCCGCATCGCGTGCGTCGGTGGCCAAGCAAGAATCGGCAAATACCAAAAGAGCTTTCGCGACTGCTGGTGCTTCCTTGGGCACATATGGAAGGAGCATGCGGATCTCTTGGATGTCGCTGATAATTGTGTCGAGGTCCAGCGATTGCAGCGGGAGGCTCTCGAGATGGCCCATAAAGGCCTGGAAGACTTCGTCGATCACGGCTTCGAGCTCAACGCCTGCGAGGACCTTCCCGAGCTTGTGCACGCCAATGGCGCGGTAGATCTCGATGGCCTCTTTAAAGCATGCTTGCGGGGTCGCGATCGGGAACGGGCCATCGCCGCACATGAGGAGGAGGCGCCCGAGCCGGCAGAAGCATCGGAGGAGATCCACACCTGTACTCATGGAGCCCCGCTGGACGCGCTTCATGACGATACATGCGATTGCGCGGATCTGGAGCGCGTCGAGCTTGCGCGTCTCGAGGAGCCAGCAGTCCCGCGACTTGTTGTAGAGCGCGATCGCGTCCTTGTCGTCGACGCCATGGAGGGGTCCATCGAGCCACGCTCGTGCTTCCGGAAGGATTCCATCTTCGTCGGCGCCGTCGAGGAAGCGCGCGAGCCGAGGCAGGTCCATCACGCGTTCTTCCGTCTCGTCCCTCGGCTGCAAATTGCTGAATGCGCGCGAAACACGCGATCCAAAATCCGTTACTTTTCGGATACCTCCTCACTTAACCGGACACCGCGACCGGTTGCTTGCGAACGTAACCGGATTGTTTGCACTGAACGCACGCAACCTTTTCTCGGCCCCCTAGCGGACATAGCGTATTTGCCATCGGTCAGACCTTGGATGGATCAACTTCTTATTTAAAAAAGGTTTATGCGTTGCCGTTTACACCAAGAAATACGATCGCCGTTGCATTTCTCGATGGAGGAGATGTCTTGAACGACTAAAGTGGCGTGTTTTTAGCTGCCGGAATCAAGTATCCGGATGACCTGGCATGAAAGGGGTTGGTTCCGACAACTTCAAGCACGGTCGCCATGCTGCGTCGCTCGTTGCAGTACCCGGCGTCGCAGGTCCGCGCGCTCAGCTCGTGGAGTAGCAAGGCGCTCTCACACAAGAAGACGTCGGCGCAATGTCTCTTGGTCGACGGCAACAACCTTCTCTACGAGATGTACGACGCACGGTGTCAATTGAGCTGGTACGACGACCTGGCATATTGTCGGCGTCGCCTGCACGTAGCCATCTCCTAGGAACGGCGGGCCCACGGGCACGGCCATGCGTTTTGTGAAATGCGTCTACGACCTCGTGCGCGCCAAGCAGCCGCAACGCGTCGGTATCTTCTTTGATACTGCGACCAAGACGCATCGCCACTTGAGCAACCCCAACTACAAGCAGTCGCCGACGCGAAAGCCAATGCCGGATGCTCTCCGCGCCCAGTTTGACGTCACGGTACCTTCTTGTCTCTTCGCGCAAGAAGCAATTGATCCTGGCAGTAGCTGCACGTGCTTCGAGCTCTTGGCCTCAAAGTGATTCAGAAACCGGGCGTCGAAGCCGACGACTTTATTGCCTCGTACACCAAGATCTGCGCTGCCGACGGGTACGACGTCATTGTCGTTAGCAACGATGGCGACATGCACCAGCTCGTGCAGTCGCCGACGCTCTCACCACACGCGAAGCAACACGTCGTCATCTACAAGCCGACGCGCGGCATCTATGTGGCCGAGAAGCAAGTGCGCAAGTTCCTGCACGGCGGTGCGCCGTCGCTCCATCCTGGTATTCGCGCGCTCTGCGGCGACCACTGGGGCAAAGCATCGGGTGTCCCCGGCGGCCTCCCGGTTCCTATCGCCGTGTCGCTCCTCACTGAATTTGGGAGTTTACCTCGACTCCTCCGCAGCCTCAACAAGGTCGACGATCTGAACCTGCGGCGCCGGCTCCAAGACGCAATTTCGGCGCTGGAAGTGTCGTACAAAATGTCCAAGCTCCAGGAGAACGTCGCGCTGCCCGTGGCGCCCGCGGCCTTGGATGTCCTCTTGCCGCTCACTTTGGACCGGTCCGTGCTGCACGACTACCTCGGCCCGGACGGCATGGCCACGGTGCTCGCGGACCCGAAAAACAAGCGCGGCAAGTTCAACAAACGAGCGCACGTCTTTATCACACCCGAACCGGAAGAGACGCTCGATGCGACGACCGAAGCCGAGCTTGACAAGTGGTTTGACGCCGTCGCCAACGGCCACGACTACAAGTAATCATAACATTGGCTTTCGTGTCACTAGAGTATACTACAATCTATATCGCGAGTATGTGTCATATTGGCCTTGTGCCAGGACGCTTCAAGGTTGCAGCTATTCTTTCTTGAAGCTTCAGGAGCCCTACCCCTAGTTTCGATCTGGCTGCTAGGAGAGACGACGTTTCTGCCACGTACTCGGGCCAGAATACTCGTCCTCAATGGACCGACAGATGGGTACAGTGTATGCACGTTGCCAGATGCTACACTAAGATGCGTTTGAACCTCTGCCAGTCAGGAATTTGGACGTTCGATGACACCGTCCATGTGCAAACCGAGGTTAGGGTTAGCTTGACGTCCACACGTTTGGTTCACAATGGCTTTGCTGCCTACCGCCATGGAAACTGAGGCCCACAACACATATGTTAGCCATGGCTTCAACGTATATGCACAACGTCGTCGCCTGACCAAACTGCCTCCCAACGATCTCAACTCACAATCCACAAACATTTTCTGTATCAACCAATTCTTTGCTACTACTAGTACACATCCATCGCTTCCAACGGCCTAGACAAGTTCAAAGCCCAGGTCCGCGTCGGCTGCCTCAGGTGGCAGTGTAATGAGGTCGTAGCGCACATCGAGCAGCGCCGTGAGCATCGTCTGGAACGGCGTCGGCGCGTCTTCCCCAGCGAGGACGGCCTTGAGGACGTTGGGCGAGAAGCCCGAGATGAGCGACACGCTGGCTTGGGTCGCGAGCGCTGCAAAGTCCATCGCGTTGCCGTTCACGTTCCAAAAGACGAGGTGCGGGACGTCGTAGTTGGCGGCCGCAAACTCTTTCGCGAGCACCGCATAGTTGGTCTCAAAGTTGCGATCCGCTCGGTCAAACTGCATGTCCGAGACGACAATAAGCTTCTTGGGCATGCGCTCGCGCGGGATCTGCTTGGAGACACCGAGGTGAATGACGGCGCGGAAGGCCGCAGCAAAGTCCGTGCTGCCGCCCCACGGCGCACCCCTGAGGCTCTTGACCTTGGCATGCAAGCTGTCGCCGTCAATGTGATGGAAGCGCGGCGACGACTCGAACGTGAGCACGAGATTGTGAAACTCGTCCGAGACGATCGACGACACCATGATACCGAGCGCGATCGACACTTGCATCGGCGTACCCGACATCGAGCCCGACACGTCCGACATGACGAGCGTCTGCGTGAGCGTACCCAGAGCCCGCGTCGCCGTCTCCAGAACAGCCCACTGCGCCTCCAAAAGCTCGTCCTTGGGCTGGCCATTGTAGTAGGCGTCGACGATTTGGTGCGGATAGAGGACCGCCGCGTTGACCTTGGTCTCGCCCGTCTTGAGACCGGCCTTCCACGTCGCAAAGGCGTCGGGGAGATGCCGCTCGAACGCATGCTTGGGCTTGCCATGGTTCTTCATCGCGACGCTGGGCACCTTGTTCAAGTTGATCTTCTCCCACTCCTTGGCGCACATGAGCGACTCCAGCAGCGTGAGCGACTTGCGCAACGGCGACAAGTACGTCTTGCGCAACTCGGCCGACCGCACGTTGAGCAGCTTGGCGAGTTTGCCGTTGACATGGTCCTTCTTGTCGGCCTTCTTGTTCTCGGACGGCACCCACTTGGCGCAGAGACTGATGGGCTTGCCATCGTGGAGCGCGGCCAGATCCTTCTTGAGTTGCTGCGCAAAGATCGAGAGCGCAAAGGTCTCGGCAGGCGTGCCCACGAGCGCGAGGAGGTCGTCGTACCGCCCGTAGACGCTGACGTAGTGCTCGAGGTTGTGCAGGAGCGCGCGCGTGTCGTGCGTCGCCAGCCACGCGAGGGCCTGTCGCCCGAGAAGCCGTTCGCCTTTGCCGCCGCGGATATCGCGAATGTACGCAATGATCTTGAGCGTATGCAGCGGGTCCTCGGCGTACGAGGCGACCAGCTTGGCTTCGAGATCGTTGAGGGACGTGCCCCGGAGCACGCCGGCAAAGAGGTCGACACGGGCGCTGGTCGTCGTCGCATGGGTCAAGGCGCCGTTGTCGGTCGTCGTCATCTTCTGCGCCGCAAGCGCCTTGGCTGCTTCCGCAAACGAGGCCATGCTGGCAGACGAGCGCAAAAATTGAAAATGGAACTCGCCTCGTGGGAGCCACACCAAAGATATTCGCTTATCCAAGTACATTGGCAACCGGATGAAAACCCCTCGACGCTGAACCACGACCTACGAAGAGTGAGCCCGCAACGACATCCAGCATACACGAGAAATTTTTATTATGCCGTGGGTCTTGCATTCGTCTTCTCATCGAGGTGACCACACGCTGTCGACGCGGTGCATAGATATATACTATTTAAGCGAATACATGACAATCCGCCCGACGGTATCCGGCAACGGCATGGAATGAGATACAGGTGCCAGTCGTGAGTGATGGTCGTTGCCACGTCGACTCCACCGCTGCCATCATGTGGCCGATGGCATGAGCAATGGTTGAGGCATGGACAGGTAGATGTTGCATTCCTTCTCCTTCTATTGCCTGCAGCCACGCGTGTGCTAGCGCCCAGCCTACAGAATGGATGTAGCCATTGATACCTTGCCTAATTCAAAGTCATTGTTGGCGTGCTCAATCCAGGGGTACATTATTTACCCTGGCTCAATCGCTCCAGAGACCAAATCTCGACACCTCTGGCGCCCGACGCAATCAACGCCGGCATTCAACCTTGATCTATTCTTTCCAGCCAATAATGATTTTCGCGGTCGAATTTTTACGCTCGTCATCTGTAGACTAGACAAAAAGGGAGGACTTGGGAGCGCCTTGGTGTGTATGATGATGGCCCTGGAAGCCACGCCGAGGCGTTCGACGAGTGTTCGTACAGCGAGAGTGTCCAAAACTTCTGGACTTTGGCAAAACATTCGACCGTCGAAAAAATTCCCCTTCGAATGTTCCAGGATTTAGCACCGAACAATCAAAGTTCGACGGTTGCAACATCATTCCACGTGCAATGCCTTTCACAACTGAAAACGATGGCAGCGACCTTCCACAGCGTGATCCTCGGCCAGCCTGAGATCGCAACGATGGTCTTTGCGTTTCAGTTTGGCTTGTATGAAGACGTGTGCCCGGCCTTCCGCGCCTGTCGTGAGCTCGTGGAGCTTGTCGCCAGGTTTCGAAGTTACGCATGTGATCCGTCCTTTCGCCAAGCGTTCGCGCCGAATGCCGTGTGGTCGGACGACCTCGGGTACATCACCCCATTGATGTATGCTCTTCGCGGCAATCAGCGCGACCCGCGTTTGCCACTGCATGTGGCCATTGCCCAAGGTTTCGTGCCGCTGACCAAGCGCATTCTATGCTGCCGACCCGACCTCGTCTCGGACGACGCGATCGTCTTGGCCTTTGAGAAGAACCACCTAGCTATCGTCGAGCTTCTACTGGACCAGCGCGAAAGCGTACGCAAACAACGTGGCATTATCCGCGCAAGTACGTAATTACTGTGGTGACCCATGATGTTTACAAAGTACCTTGGCGTAGCAACTCGTACGTAGCTTGCGAGGCACTTGAATTACTGGGGCAACATGGTGGCTCGCGATGACTCGAGAGGTCTTCTTTTACTCCAACGCTTTGGTCTGCACCCCGACGACGTGATTGCCTCGGGTCGCCGGTATGTGATCAATCGCGCGACGCTCAAGAACGCAACGCTCGCACTCGACCTTTTTCCGTGGCTTCTCTATCCAAGTCTCTTGGATGACATTGCAGGCAAAGGATTTTTGCCGCTCGTACGCTCGCTCCACGAACGCGGCCTCGACTGCTCGACGGTCGCCATGAACGAAGCGGCGACCAATGGCCATTTGGAGGTCGTCAAGTTCCTCCATTTCAACCGGACCGAAGGCTGCACAATCGGCGCACTCGAGTGGGCTATTCTCAACGGCCACCTCGATGTTGTCCGCTTTCTCATTGCGCATCGCACCGAAGGCGCATCGCCCACCGTCCTCGACTTTGCTGCTGCGAACGGCCACTTTGACGTCGTTCAGCACCTCCATTCTCTGGGCACGTTTGGCTGCACCGTCGCCGCCGTCGACCACGCCGCTTCTGGCGGTCACCTGAATATCGTCGAGTTTCTCTTGATGCACCGAAGTGAGGGGTGCACCCATGACAAAGTCGTTGAAAAAGCGCTCAAGGGTTGTCATCCGCATATGGCAAGGTACCTCCTCTCGCGCGGGTATCCGTTTCCAACGTCGGAGCTCAACTTGGATTACTTTTGCTTTGGCAACCCCGAGAGCGTTGGCGTCTTTGAGCTCTTGGTCGCACACGGTCGACCGATTGAGGAGGATTGGTTCCTCCAAGCCTGCGTTGACAGCAATTTGCCTCTCGTTCGCCTCCTGTACGCATACGCCGACCCTGCCTGGCACCCCGAAGCGCTCAAAGAAGCCGTCCGAGTCAACGCGTGGGACATTGTGCGCTTTCTTTTGGCCAACGACGCGATGGACGTGTCGGCCGACACCCTCAAAAAGGCGCTACGCTCTGGCTACTTTGATCTCGCTGCGCAAATTCTGCGGCGGCAACCCGAGCTCCGACACGAGAAGCTACTCGAGGCCGCTGCAGCCAGCCACAACGCCAAGGCCATCCGATTGCTCCTTGCTGCCGGCATTGGCAACCCGCGCGAGGTCCTCCTTGAGATTGCAGGTCGTAAACAACACGTGACCGATTGCAAGCTCCTCCTGCCGTGCTGCATGGATGCGACCGACCATCTCGACAACATTAGCTTTCTATTGGACCTGCTCGCTCTGCCCGACCGCCACCGTGCGACGACCCTCCAGTTGATCACATCCGAGCTCCTGGAGCAAGGAAGAAAGGCCAGCCAAACGATGCAGCTAGCACCTAGCGCGGCGGCGCGAGCGTCTAATTTGCTACAGGCGGGCGAGGTTGTCGACTGGGCGTTGGCCCTCGTCATGGGCCATCTTCGTGCGACGGCCACCATCGAGGAGCTCGAGAAGAAGACAGCATTGGTCGAAGATGCCGAGCTTAAGACGCAGCTCCAACGTTTGCTCGAAGAGAAGCCGTAGGCCAAGAAGATGGACAAGTAAATAGACTCTACTACCGCGGTCCAGGTACTCAGCTAAGCGAATTTCTGACCCTCCGCGCATCTTATCCGGTGGTGGTCATGTCATACGCAACGATTGTGCAGCTGATTGTACGGGAGCTCTCATTGGCGGCCGGGTCGATGCCATGACGCAGCAACGACATATCTGCAACAATATCTACCAGACTTTTGCGAATGGGACTGGCGAACCCAACGCTATAATTGCGTCGGCCAAACGAAATATTAGTACCTTTCAGCTGAAGGTTCAACTTTTCCCTGTCTAAAGTCGATTTTATCCGGATGATTTTGCATTTTCACGTGCCATGGCAACCTTCCGCAGTGTCGTGCTTGGCCAGCCCGAGATCGCATCGATCGTCTTTGGCTACCAGACTGGCGTCTATGAAGACGTGCGTCCAGCCTTCATCGCCTGCGAGGAGCTCGTCGAGTTTGACGCGAGCAAGAAGCTCTACATGTGCGACGCGTCGTTGTACGAGGCATTTGCGCCAAGCGGCGGTGCGTGGGCAGGTCCCAAGCAATTCCGTTCGTCCGAGTACCTTTTGCGCACCGATGTGCGCGATAAAAGCCTGCCGCTGCACTTGGCCATTGCCGGCGGCTGTGCCCACCTGGCCACGCGCATGCTGCAGTGCCGGCCGGACCTCGCCTCCGAAGAAGCGATTCTCTTGGCGTTTATCAAAGACCAGTTGGAGACGGTCGAGGTCCTTCTGGATCTGCGAACGACGTTGCCTGCGCTTACGAAGCCTGTCTACCACGCGCGTCGTCAGCGTACGTTGCACGCTGCACTGTATACCGGTACACTCATGATTGGCTTGCGATGCGTCCTAGTCGAGAACGGCTACGTGTGGCGCTTCCCGGTGGGGTTTTTGGTCGACCTTCTCGCGAGAAATGACACCAACGGCCTGTGTTTGCTTGCGCGCTTCGGCACTGGCCCCGATGACTTTGAAGGTCGGCAAGAGCGCGATGCCGATTCCACCATCTCGGAACGGGCCATGCGGTCGGCCATGCAGCGTGCGACGCTGGCCAACGCAACGCTCGCCCTCGACCTCTTTCCATGGTTCGTCTACCCACGTCTCTTGGACGACGTGGCCGACAAAGGGTTCTTCTCGCTCGTACGCTCGCTGCACGAACGCGGTGTCGTGGGCTCGAGAGACGCGATGGACAAAGCGGCGGCCAACGGCCATTTGGCGATCGTCCGGTTGTTGCACTCGCAGCGACACGAAGGCTGTACTCTCAAGGCCATGACCGCAGCCGCAATTAACGGCCATCTGGAGGTCGTTCGCTTTCTCGACGCGCATCGAAACGAGGGCTGCACGACGCGGGCCATGGACGAGGCGGCGGCCAACGGCCATTTGGAGGTCGTTCAGTTTCTCCACTTCAACCGAACCGAAGGCTGCACGTACAAGGCGCTTGACGGCGCCATTACCAAAGGCCACCTTGACGTCGTTCGCTTCCTTCTCGAGTATCGTTCCGAGGGTGCGTCACGTAATATCCTCAACCAAGCTGCCGGCAACGGCCACCTGCACGTCGTCCAGTACCTCCACGACCTCGGTTCGTTTGGCTGCACCGTCGCCGCCGTCGACTCGGCAATTGCCGGCGGCCATTTGGACGTCGTGCAGTATCTGTTCGCCCACCGACGCGAAGGCTGCAGTCGCGACGACGCTGTTGCCAAGGCGCTCCAGAACGGGCATCTGCAAATGGCAACGTACCTCCTCTCACTCGGGTATCCGTTCCCGACCTCAGCGATCCGTTGGTACGTCAGCACGCTCCGCAAGCCCGAGATGGTCGACGTTCTCCGCCTCTATATCGACAACGGCGGGGCCTTGGATGCGTACTGCATACTCTACGCATGCGGTGCCCACAATTTGCCGCTCGTCCAGCTTTTGCACGCGCACCCAAGTGAATTCAGTGGCGCCAACTTGATCGAGATGGCGATCAAGACCAAGGCGTGGGACGTCGTCGCCTTTCTCTTGGCCCACAGCGCGACAGCCAGCGTTTTGCTGCAAGCCCTCGAGCTGGAACTACCGAGCAGCCACCTCGAGCTCGTCATGCAACTGCTGGAGCGTCAACCGGAGCTCCGCGACGATAGGCTCCTTCAAGTGGCCCTTGGAGGCGGCAACGTCGAGGCGATGCGGCGTCTCCTCGCGCTCGGCATTGGCAACCCGCGCGAGTGCCTTCGCGAGATTGCAGGGCGTCGAGAGCACGTGAGTGAGAGCAAATTGCTCCTACCGTACTGCATGCACCCGACCGACCACCTCAACAACGTCATTTTTCTTTTCGATCTGCTCGCGCTGCTGGACCGCCACCGTAAGACAACCTTCCGTTTGATCGCGCAAGAGCTCTCGTATCAAGAAGAAATGGCCAGTGAAGCTTTTGCGCGCGCACCCAACGTGGCGGCCCGTGCTTCAACGCTGCTGGAGGCTGGCGAGGTCATCGACTGGTCGCTGGCCGTTGTCATTTGCCAGCGCTGGACGACCGATGCAACCGCCAGCATTGAGCAGCTCGAGAAGTCGACTGCGTTGGTGCACGACGCCGAGCTCCAGACGCAGCTCGATCGTCTTCTCACAGCGCAGCGATAGACCGAGACCGATGCAATAATGACACATTGTGTCCAACATATTTTCGATACCAGTGGTCTACTTCACAATCTGCACTGTCTAATACCTTGTCGATATCTAGTTTTCGCATTCTGATTTGCATCAAGCAGGTGGAGTTTCTCGGCGCCAGCCAAACCTCTATCAACTGATAGGATAGATATCAAGTGTCACAGGCAACTGTCGGTTCGAGCGAGAAAGGTCTCAACGGGCAACCTCGATGGCACTCTCGATCGCAGCGCAGATTGAGCAGCGGATAGCAGCGCTCTTGCCACCGCCGCCACCAGCCTTCGCAACACGTCCGCGACTCGACGCGCCCGAGAAGCCATTGACAGTCCTTTGGCAACAACGCTGCTACGCCCTCCGCCAGCGCCAGCGCTACCAGATGCACCGCGTTCTTCAGCACAAGCACCTGCGCCGGCGCCGGCCCAGTCCGCCGACCGAATGCGCCATCTGCCTCGAGATGATGCAGCCCGAGCGCGAGATGCTGCGCACGCTGCCGTGCGGCCACGCATACCACCGCGCGTGCATTGACTCGTGGGCCAAGCGGCAGAAGACGTGCCCGTGCGACCGCCTGCCCTTTGGCCGTCTCTTTTAGCCCGTCCGTCGACGCCTTTTTGCATGCTCACCAATACTGTATTTCTGCATATGCTTTGAACATTGGTGACGTCATGGCAGCAGGCTATCCTAGCTGGTCGTCCTTGGGGTGCAATCGCGGGGTGCGGTGGCACAGCCGTCGCCACGCCTCGAGCCTTGCGTCATCTTCGTCCTCGCGCCATGTGAGCTTGACGTCCTTGATCCATGCATTCGTGACAACCAAGACGATCTCGTCGTCGTCGTCGTCATGCAACAAACTCGCATCGTCAAACTCGGGGGTTAGGACAAAGCCAGCATGGATCTCTTGAGCGACAGGGGCCGCCTTCTCGAGCCGGCCGCCATAGGCCCCGAGACGCGCGCTTAGCTGGTCCCGCGAGCATTCGCGGACGTTGGGGCTGCGGCAGACCCAGCACTTTCGAACGTGGAGGACGCTCGCCGCAGCACGCTTTTTGGGTTCGCGCAAGACTGCGAACGCCTTGCAGCTGTGGCAGATCGTGCCCAAGACAGCTTTGCGACAGAGCAGTTGCTGCAGCGGCCCAACAACCGCTGCGACGTCATTGGCACTCACCTAGCGCCTTCCTTTGGCACACAACACGCACAGATGTATGTACCTCGTAGGCGACCGATGGGAGGCCGCGGAACCCGAGCTTGACAAGCGGCGATGACGCGTCTGTGACGGCGACGCAGCGCAGACTTGCAAGCGGCCGCGCAAGCACATGCCCCGAGTCGACTTCTTCCAGTACTTTTGATGCCTGCAACATAGATTGAGATCCTCTGGCATTCATCGATGAGGTCTACGTGAAGGTGGATCGTGGCCGGCAGCCCTTCTTGACTCGCTGGCAAGTCCAACGCGTCAGCTTCGTCGAGCGAGAGGAAGAGACGCACGTCCAGACCCATCTTGGAGGCGACCTACACCCGCGAGATGAGCTGCCTGCGATAGAGCGCGACGTGGGGTCCACCGGCCGCTGCATCGCCATCTCATCGTCGCTCCCAGTCGCATCCACATCATCCTCGTCGTCGTCGTCACTGCCGTCTTCTTCGGCCGCTAAATCACGCAGAAACTCATCGACGTAGTAGCTACGGGCACGCGCGCGGTGCGTCGGTGTCTCGACGACAAAGTCGTCGACGCTCGAGACAACGCTGTTGTCGCTCCATCCGCTCTCAACGCGGGGACGGGCCGCCGCTTTCGCTACTGGTCGTGGCAATGGCGCCAGCACAAACGTGTCTTCAATCGCAGCCGGTCGAGGCCGCAAGCGAAGCCCCAAGGTCGTCGGCAAGAGCGGGTACCCAAGCGCATCGGTGCGCGTCGTTGGCCCGTGCTGGCGCGAGTAGCGCATGCTCTCGAGCTCGGTCGACGTCCACGGCGCCCCGTCCAGTTCGACGCGCGGCCCGACATGAAACAGCACCTACATTCTGTTTTGAAAACAGTGTTTCATGGAAGATCGTACTTGTCGGCGGTAGTCGGGGTACGTCGCGAGCGGGTTCCCGCGCAAGTAGAGTTCGTCGAGCCGCAGCGATGCGAGACATGCGATGGCGTCCACGTTGGCCAACGCGTTAAACGACAGATCGAGGATCTACTGCACCATAAGACCGGATTCGCGACGCGTTAATCGACCTGCAATGCGGGTAAACGGGTCGTCGGCAGCGCCTCAAGCGACGTCAGGTGATTGTGGTCGAGCCAGAGTGCAGTGAGCGCCGTGTAGCTGCTGCGCAGTGAGAAGGAAGCGAGTGCGTTGTGCGAGAAGCGCGCCGAGAGCAAGGACGTCGACGCCATGAGGTCGTCGATCGACGTCAGTGCGTTCCCGCTGCAGTCAACGTGCGCGAGGGCCGGTAAGAACGTGTCGAGGTCCTATGCTTCGATTGAGTGTAGCCTACGAATGAAATGGCGACTACCGCGTGCCACGACGGCAAGGCTGCATGGCACACCTTGAGCGTATGCAAGCACGGCCATGACTTGTGCAAGAGCAGCTCCATGAGGCTTGTAAGAGGGCTGCCATGGTACTCCAGCACCTACTATGGTATGAGATGACGCAACCCTAGTCAGAAGTACCTCGAGCTGACGAGGAAAGCATGCAAGCGAAGGAAGCGTCTCGGTCGGCGTCTCTCGCAGCTCGACGCTTGTCATGGCCGAGAATATCTCAAGGTGCAGGTCGGGGCATGGGCGGCGCTGGCTCGCGGCGTCGTGGCTGACTTTGAGCACCTTGGCTTCCTGCAGTAACGTCGAGAGTTTGAGTACGTCCAGGTGGCCGATGGGCGCTTGGTCGAGGTCGGAAGCGCCGTCGCCCGCCATAGGCGACAAGACCGGGCACTCGAAGAGCGCCATCGTGTCACTGGACGTCGTCCGGCGAATCGTCCAGCCATCGATGCGGCCACTGCCATCCTAGTACCAGCATGAGAGTGGCTGGTCATGGGCCATCACCGCACCTGGGCGTGCTTGGGACATAGCGTCGTCTGTAGCCGCTCAAAGAGGTACGCGATGCCATGCGGATTGAGCGCGAGCTTGACCGCCCCTTTCTTGAGCTTGCTTACGTGCGTCTGCAGCGTCTCGTGGAGCAGCTTTAGGAACGAGCCGTCGCAGTAAAACCGGTCAAAGTCCATCTCATCTGTCGAGGAGCGCGAGCGTGGCGGCGACGTCGCGGGCGTCGACGGGCTCGGACGTCGAGGGTCCCATCGGTCGTCGTCGCCCCACTCCATGCTTGCAAAAGATTGAATGTATTTTGCCGCTTTTGATTGGTGCACTTTCGTACATTATAGCCAATCAGATCGCCTTCTTGTAGCCTTCAACAACTACAGGACGGTTCTCTAGCTCGCTGCCCGTCGATGAACGACGCATCGTACTGCGAGCGTCCCTTCGACTCAGCGCAAGGACGTCCATGTGTCTGCTCCACGTGTCGTCGATGGCCTCGCTCGCCGTCCGGCCGTGCAAAGGTATTGCCTAAGCAAAAGATCGTGTTGCGTGCGTTTAGCCAAGTTGCACCACGGTTGAGGTGCGACCAGTGCAGTTAATGTCGGATGAACCTGTCATCTCAGGACTACTCGATCAGTTTCTATCACAATCTAGCACAAAAGGAATACTAGACACTATTGTCTTGTCGCGTGATGCGAATGGATGACCGAAGCGAGGCCTCGTCGCAGCCACGTCGCGCGACCACATGCTACAACAGGTTATGTCACTTCGTACACCATCACTCACAAACTAGAATCTCTAAACGTATTAGCAATTAGGATTATAGACTCCTATACTCGCGTACATAGACCTTCGACTGCACCGATGGCTCGCAGTCGGCGAGTTTGGAATGCGCGGGAACGTCCGTCGGTGCGACACGTTAGCTGCACGCAACAGGACCATCACTCTGGTGTTTTCTTGGCGTGTGTTTAAAACACTGGCCCGACGGATCCAAAATGTATCTTTGGACCTGGTCGGATGCATACAAATGCCAAGTGCATTGTTTAAAACACCAAATGGTTTTCAACGCGTCGGATCCAAGGGGGCGTAGCTTGGTGCGCCGGCATTAAATTGCGCAGCAAGGTATACAAAACGCAAGTCAAGATAAGAACAATGAAATAAAATGTGGATTGTGTGGGCTTATGCCATTTGTGGATTTTTGCACGCCAGCTTGCGGTATCCCAGAGATTGCCCGTCGGCCTCCGCGGTACGATCGGCCATGCGACCGCGGAAGGGCTCATGAAGATGCTGCGTAGGAATCCAGGTAGACACCAAGATCATAGCATCCTCGACGCACGCTGCCATCACGAGTAACCATCGTGATCCTGCTGCCATCGTGACGACGTCGACCCCCAGCCCGAACAACCACCACAAGCGCATGGAGCCCGATTCCGACCAAATGAGCGCGCCGGACGCGCACGAGGCCAAGGACCACGAGAAGCGCCGGCGCATCCAGGCCGACGCCGACCCGGCGGCGCTCCAAGCCCACCACATGGAGCTCTACCGTCTCGTGTACGAGGATCTGCGCACCAAGTCGACGGTCGGGTGGCAGAACGCGGTCACGGCCTTTGAGACGGCGACGGCCCATTCCGAGACGCCGGCGACCATCGAGTTTCTCCAGCTCTGCTTTCGCCAGATTGTGAGCATCATGCTCGACCAACAGTACGTTGCTGCAACATGCTGCGCCCTCTCACATCTCGATGACGTGTCTAGTGCGAGCAAGATTGGCCCGACCGAGAAGGCCTGTGTGATCCAGACGCTCACCAAGGGCATCGTGCTCTGCGTCGGCCAGTTGAAGGCCCACCGCCCGGCGTTTCTCTCGCACGCCGCCGTGCTTCTCAACAAGAAGAAGCTCTTTTACAAGGAATTTCGCAACTCGCACATGATGGGCCAGTACTGGAACAAGGCGACCGGGTGCCCCGAAGTCCGCCTGCAGTGCATCAGCCTCTTCCACGAGCACGGCGGCTTCCTCGTCCTTGCGCAAACCATCGAGGGTATGGTAGAGACCGACGAGAGCGTCGCTTGCCTCGGCCTCGTGCCCATGGACGATCTCCGCGTGTTTGTCCTCGCGGTGCTCGAAGCCCGCCACAGCGTCGACGTCGGCCTTGTCTACCGTCTCTCGCTCGCAATTCTCCGCCTCCTCCTCGCGCTGCCCGCGGCCGAGTTGAAGAAGGAAGCGACCGACGTCATGGGCCACGTGCTCGGTACGATCCAGCGGCTATGGGACGTCCACCACGCGTCGCCGCTCCAGGACACGATGCTGCAGGTCATTGCGCGCTTCATCGAGTCGACGTCGCTGCCGCAGCGCCTCTTTGGGTTCGAGCAGCTCGGCCATCTGATTGGCGCCGCCCGCCATGTGCAGCCGTACCCAATCTCGTACACGGTGAGCGGCGCGGGCTCACCGCATGTCAATGGCACGTACCTTCTCGTGCGCTCCGAGACGGAGGCGACCAAGTCGTCGACGGCAACATACATCCAGCCGAGCGTGATCCCCACCACGAGTCCGCTCACGCTCTTTTGCTGCACGATGAAGAGCGGCGCGAAATGGTGGTTCCTCTCGGAAGCCGACAAGCTCCAGCCCGGCACGGACCAGGACGTCGACTACTACCAGCACCAGTCGTCGTCGCTCGACGAGTGCCTTCCGCCCGTGCTCCACTGGCAGCCAACCGGCAGCGGCGCGTCGCCCGCGCCATTGCTCGTGCCGACACGCGCGCCCGAAGCGTCGATCGACCCGGCGCGGTTTGACCAGCAGATTCTGGCGTTCGTGCAGCGAACCAAGCTCGTGGACGAGATCTTTGGCGACCGCATGCACCGCGAAGTCGTGGCGCGCAGCACGACGTTGCTCACGTTCCTCGCCGAGTCGCACGCGATCTCGGAAGCGCACTTGCTGCAGATTGTCGCGTCGACGTCGGGGAAGGAAGCGTCGCTCATGGCCGAGATCCAAACGGTGCTAGTCTCGTGCGTTCTGCCGTACGTCTCGGACGCGATGCTCGAGCCGTTCTTGGAGCACGTGCTCGCGTCCAACCTCACGGACGCAACGCTCTTGATGGAGAAGATTGCGGCGCAGTACCGCTGCATCTTGCTGCGCCCGAGTCCGAACGTCCGCAGCGCAGTCGCCCGTGTGCTCTGGGCCATCCAGCTGCAGTCGACAAAAGCAACGTCGTCGGAGCTGCTCGAGTTTTTTCAAGACGCGCTGCTGCACACGCCGAGCGACGCGTCGACGTTTGTCGACGCGTGCGTCGCGCAGCTCACGCTCTCGGCCGGGCAGTCGACGCCGCTCGCACTGGACGACGAGACGCTCATTGCGCGCAGCCTCGAGCTTCTCAAAGTGCTCTTGACGGCGTCGACGCCGGTCGGGCCATTGGTGGCGCTCTTGTTTGATGAAATTGCGGCGTTTGTCGCCCGCAACCCGGTCGGCTCGGCGATTGCCGAGGCCGCGCTGCGCCACCGCCTCGAGTTGCTCCAGTTTCTGCACCACAGCAGCGCGCTCACGTTTGACGAAGTGCTTCGCATCTGGACAGCGCTCCGCGTGCATTACGCAGACGTGGGCTACGAGTTTTTGCGCGACGCGTCCGTCTTTGTGGTCGCGGACGCCGCGCCGCTGCAGATGGACGTGTGTCGCCGTGTGTTTGAGGAGCTCTTGTGCGTCGCGGCCGAGACCAACTATGCGTCGCTGAGCGTCCACGGCTTCAACTGTTTTCACACGTTCTTCATTGGTCTCAACGCCCACGCGTCGCACCTCGTCCGGTCGCCGACCGCGATCCGACGTGTCGTGCGGCTCCATGCGCTCCTCGGCCTCGACGCGCTCTGGACGATCGCGATGGAAGGCGCGCCCGACGTCGCCAAGCTCGCGACCAACGAGCTCCTCCAAGTGTACGCCCACGTGGACGAAGGCGACCGCATGGAGGCGCGGATGCACTTTTTGTCGCATGTGTTTGCGTCGCTCCAGCACACGCGGCTCGTGACGCAAGGCGTCCAGCTGCTCACGGGCTTTGTCGCGTCGCAGCCGGCGCGCCTGCTGCATGGGAAGCGCTCGCGCGGCACGCAGCTCACGCTCAAGTGCGTCGTCCAGCGAATTCCCAACCAGCTCCAGAACGAGCGCACGTATGTGACGCTGACGGTGTTTGCCAACGACCCGGTCGCGCGCCTCCGGGCGCTCGTCGAGCGGACCGTGCAGCACCCAAAGAACCAGACCAAGCTCCTGGCGCATAGCGCGACGCTCATCGGCGAGGCCAAGACGCTCGCCGAGGTGGGCTTGACCGAGTCGACCGAAGTCCGCGTCGTCTTGTTTCAAAACGTCGTGACGAAGGCGGCGGACGAGGCGACGATCTTTGCGCCGAGTGAGCTGGAAGCCTCGTCGCCCGGCGCGCTCCTCGCGGCCAACGAAGCGTACTTGGACGTGCTCTTTGGTCTCCTTGCGGCGTCGACAACACCGAAAGCGACGCAGGTGCTGCTCCGCGACCTCTTGCAGCAGATCCCAACCAACCCCGACTGGCTTGCGCGCTGTGCGACGCCGCTCACGTCGCCCAAGACAGTCGCGTCGTGGCTCGCAGCAATGCCGTACCCCAAGGCGGTCTACGTGCTCGAGGTGCTCGACGGTCTCCTAATGCCGTCGTCGATGGCGCAGCGCGTGTACGACGCAGCGTTTGTCGCTGCGTTTGTGCGCTTTGGCATCCCCGACGTGCTCGACTTTCTCTTTGACGTGGCCAAGGAAGAGCACGGCATTGAAGTCGCGTTGCGCATCGTCAAGTTTGGCTGCGTCGAGCACGACAGCGTGTCGGCCATGGCGCTCGACGTCCAAGAGGCGCTCGTGACGCATCTGACGACGCTCGTGCTCTCGCAACATGCGCCACGCGTGCTATTAGACGCGCTCGAGCTCATTCAGGCGACGACGACAGCGTCGCAGTGGTTTGTCCAAGTGTTTTCGATCTCGCTCGAGATGACGCTGCTGCATCCGTGCGAGCCCGTGCGCGCGCAATGGGCCTTGACGCTGCAGCGCCAGGCCAAGGACGCGGGTGTGCTCCTGGGCCCGCTCACGGCCGCGATCGGCCAGCTGCGCGTCGACTCGCCCGTGTGCCACGAGCTCTTTCAGCTGCTCGAACACGTGGTTGAGCACGCGCCGTTGACGGCGCTGGACGCACTTGTGGACCATTTGCTGCAGCTCTTGACGCCGTCGACGTCCAACCCAGTGCTGCTTGGGTCGCTCCAGGCGCTTGCACACATTGTGTCGCTCGCGCCGCAGCACGCGGCCAAGGTCTGGGAGGTGGTTTACGACCACGGCCTCTTTGCCATGCAGACATCGGAAGGCCACCGCGCACGGAGCCTCTGCACAACGACCGACACGCGCCGGGCGGCCTACAGCGTCCTCGCGCACACAGTCAAGCACGCGCCGGCCAACCAAGCGGCGTTGCGCGCCAAGCTCGGCCAGCTGCTAACCGAAGCCGCCAACCCCAAGAAATGGGGCCAAGAGTGCAATGTGGTCGCGCGCGCCAGGTACACGCTTCTTGGGTATCGCATCTCGTGCTGAGAAATAGCGTGTAGTGACGACCATGTGGGGCTCAAGAACCAAGGCTGCTCGTGCTACATGAACTCGTTCTTGCAGCAGCTCTTCATGTACCTTCCGATCCGGCAAGGGCTTCTCGCAGCCGCGATCCCCGACTCGTTCCAGACGATTCAAGAGGACGGGGATGTGGCGACGATCGCACCGGCGTCGCTCATCGGCCGGCGCATCATGCACGAGTGCGGGAACGGCCGGTCGTTTGAGGCGCTCATCACGGGCTTTGACCCGAGCACGAACCAACATACGATCAAGTACGACGACGGTGGCGCCGACGTACGTTGTCGCTTTGCTTTTGTCCGGACTACTCATGCTCGACATGCTCTAGTTTTCGATCCAAGTGCTCGGCAACGTGCACATGACGCTCTTGCCGCCAGTCTTGGAAGGTGACGACGCGACCGTCGAGGTGCTGCGTCAGGTTCAGCGCACGTTTTGGTATCTCAAAGACAGTGAGATGCGCTACTACAACCCGAAAGCGCTGGTACGATGTCCGTTGCGGCGGCCTCTCGACCCACAATGCGCGATACGTAGGTCGAAGCCTGCAAGTGCTTGAACCTCGAGTTTTCGGTCTATCAGCAGAATGACGCAAGCGAGTTTTGCGACAAGCTCCTCGACCGTCTCGAGATTGGGCTCAAGAAGACACCGCAAGGCGCGGGCTGCCTCCAAGCCAACCTCGGCGGCAAGCTCATTTCGCAAAAGCTCCCGCAAGGCTGCGGCCACCGCTACGAGCGCGAAGAAGCGTTCATCCGGCTCGAGCTCCAGATCCGCGGCAAGGACTCGATCGAGGAGTCGCTCGCGAGCTTTGTCGAAGGCGAGGTCATGGACGGCGACAACAAGGTCGAGTGCGAGCAGTGCGGCACAAAAAAGGCGGCGACGCGCCGCACGTGCTTTGGTGCGCTCCCAAACCTGCTCGTGCTCCACCTCAAGCGCTTCGACTTGGACTATGCGACGTTCGAGACGGTAAAGCTCAACAACCGGTGCTCCTTCCCTCTCGAGCTCGACATGCGGCCGTACACGAAAGAAGGCCTCGAAGACGACGACGCCGAGAAGGATGGCGAGGATGCGTCCATGATGCCGGACGAGAGCAGCGCGTATGCGTACGCGCTCCGCGGTGTGCTCGTGCACTCTGGCGTAGCCCAAGGCGGCCACTACTACTCGTTCATTTTGGACAAGGCCAAGAACGAGTGGTTCAAGTACGACGACGAGGACGTGAGTCCGTTCGACCCGGCGCACATTGAAGCCGAGTGCTTTGGCGGCACGCAGAAGCGGACGTCGTCCTGGAACGGCGTGACCAACACGATGGAGATGGAAGTGTTTTCGAACGCGCTCATGCTCTTCTACGAGAAGGTCGAGCCAACGCCGGCGCCGACGCCGATCGTGGTGCCGTCGCCGCTCGCGCACGAGGTCTGGGTCGCCAACGACGTGTTTCTCAAGCACTCGTACGTCTTTGACGCCGACTTTCACGAGTTTGCCAAGGACATTATCCTCCATGCGGATGCGGTCGAGTGGTATACGCTCGGCCTGGCGTTTGTCCTCGACGTGGTCTTGCACTCGCGCGAGAAGAAGGGCATTGCGCGCTGGCTCCAAGCGCTCCAGCATGCGTTTAGCGCGCACCCCGCGCTTGTCGCACGGTTCTTGGACGACGTGATTGGCGACAAGAAGGCGACGTGGCTCACGACGTACCTCTTTGAATGCCCCGACGGCATGGCGCGCCAGACGTTTGTGCACTTGGTCACCCGTGCGTTGCTGTTGGCGCCCCCGGAGCTCACGCAGCGCGTCATTGGCGCGCTCGTCGGGCTCTGGAATGTGGTGTTTCCGTTGTATGTGGACGACTTCTTCAACCTCGTGCGCCATCTCTGCGAGCAGTCGCCCGCGATGCGCGCGCAGTTTCTCGGTGCCAACATGTGCAGCCGCCTCGTGCATTTCTTCCTGGGCGCGCGCAGCCTCCCGCCGCTCCAAGCTGCGTACCCGACGGCCGCGCTCTCGAACGCCCAAATGGACTTTCAACCGCTCTTTGAGGCGCTCGCGGGCTTGCTCGGGCTGCCCCGCCGCGTGCCGGAGCCGCTCTTGGCCGACGGATCGGTGCACTCGATCACGCTCAGCACACGGGCGATCGCGGCGTTCTCGGAGCTCTTTGACGAGTTTGCTGTGAACGGCGTCATGGGCGTGAATGAACTCAAGGCGTACTTCAAAGCGTGCGGGACGACCATGTCGACGGCCAAAACCGCGGGCAAGAAGATCAAGGCGATGCTGGCGGCCGGCCCCGAGCTCAACAAGGCGGCGTTCCTCGCGCAGTACACGGAGATTGCGTCGACGTCGTCCAAGATGGTGCTCTCGGATCTCAAGGCGCATGGGTTTGGCGAGAACCTCCAGCGCCTCCCCAAGCTCGACCCGGCAAACGACGATGCGCGTGCGTTTCTGCAAAGCCTCCCGCCCTTGTGCCAACATGCGCTCACGCACCCGGACTTTCTCGAGTCGGCGCTCGAAGAGGACCCCGAGGCCATTTGCGATGTCGTGGTCCGCGTCTCGTTTGGCGTTGCCAGTACGTCGCAAGTCGTCGTCGGCTGTCTCTTGCAGCAGCTGGCGACCGCCGAGATGGGCTGGAAGGGCCAAGCTATCGTCGACGTGGCAACAACGATCTTGTCGCAGCTGCTGAGTACCTGCGACGATGCGCTGTTGAACGCCACCTTTGTGCAGGCGCCAACGTCGCTGCTGATGGCGCCGCGCGAGCGCGCGACGCGGCTGCCGCCCCACCCGCACACGTCGCTCTTTGTGTTTCGGTACCTGGCGCTGGTCCTCGACTTGCTCAAGGTACCGGCGGTCGCACAGTACTTGGCACCGCGCCGCGCCGAGTGGGCGTGGACGTACCAATGGCTGCGCTTCGAGTCGCTCAAGCAGCCGCTGGGTGGCCGCGCAAGCATTCTGTACCGCGACCCGGCCAAGCTCGATGCGCTTGTCGCGCTCGGCGATGCGCTCGGGATTCCATACACGCCGGAAGAGAAGAGTTATGAGGTCAAGAACGCCGGGTTTGCGCCGCTCAACGGCGTCTACACGGTGCAGGCGCAGACGCATGACAACTGCCTCGTGTTCTGCCACTCGTCGTCGGTCAACGGCACCGAGTACACGCTGTTTCGGTGCGAGATGCCGAGCAAGGCGCACCGGTGGTACCTCTCGCACGCGCCCAACAAGCAGACGCTCGGGACGTCGAGCGATGAAGACTTTTACTACTGCGCGTGCACGGTGCACGATGATACGCCGCCCGAAGACGGCTGGAAGCCGTGGACAAAGAACGCGGCAGCGACGTTGCCGGTCCCCAACGTCTCCTTGCACGCGTCGTCGATTGCGACCGCCGAGCCAAGCGACGACACGATGATGATGGACGACGAGGACGAGACGGTCGAGTACGAAGACAGCGAAGACGAGATCCGCGTGAGCAACGAGCGCTTCCAGGCCGTGCACCTCGAGTCGCCCGACACGAGTGGCCCGATGTAAGCTCCTCGTCTAGTCCTATTGTTTTTTCATATTCCTTGTCGTCGCGTCTGGTATTTGCCGAGACGACTACCACTTTCGCGCCAGATTAGCACTGGTGGCTTGGCAGATGGATTCAAAATCTGGATCGAGCTATCTGGAGTCGAATGACAAGCGATACAGAAAGCTCCTTTTCATGCCAGTGGCGGACTCTGCTGTGGAGCTGAGGCTGTGCAGGGGCGATGCCTGGAGGCGACGACCCTTCGCCAGGCGATGGCGATGGCGGTGACGACGGCGGGCGGTGGCGGTCGTCGCTGCCTCGCATGCGCATTCGTATGGGATTGTCGGATCAATATCCAATCTGGGATGCTATCCGAAATCCAATCGGCAGACTATCCGTTGGATCGTTTCTTATTGCATATCTTAGGTCGCGCGTTGTGGTCGTGCCACGTCATCGGCCGTCGTATCCAGTGGCATCGACTGGCGCTCGCGCCAAATTCGAATCGGGTGTCGGCGCGCCAATTTCGTGCTGGACCAACACTTGGCGGGCCGCGCTTCTCGCAATTCATTGGTCGAAATCCAAATGCGCTGCGTTGTGATTGGCTCTTGGAGGGATCCGCAGCGACCGACAGTGGGCGTTCCAATTTCGGCGCTGGCCAATCCCCGTCGCGAACGAGTGGAAACAGCCACAATGTTGGTCGTCATTGGTGCATATTTGTGGATTCGAAATTCGCATTTCCCAATATCATGGCCTCCGTCCTGCGCTGCTCGCTGTGCAAGGGCGCGGACGCCCTCGTCGAGCTCACATCGTGCGGCCATAGCTTCCATCCGCGCTGCATTCACACGTGGCCGATCCTAGCCTGCCAGGTCTGCCACGCGCCATCGCCGGCCCTGCGCGTGCTCCGGGCCAAAGCCAGCACCGCGACGTCGGCGCTGCCGCCGCGCCGCACGTGGTTCGACTCGGAAAAAGAGTATTGCGATGCACTGCTGGCGCTCTTCCACGAGGGCAGCTTGCCGCTCGCAAGAGGCGTGCATCTGCGCCCGACGTTGGCCACGTTGTTGCACTGCAATCCGATGCGGATCACGAAAAAGTTCAAGCAGCACCAGCAGCTGGGCAAGCAGCTCTACGCATACAACGCAGCGCCCACGGGCTTGACGCACGCCTACAAGCGCCACACGTCGACGCAAAAGCACGTGACGATGCTCCGCGATGCGTTCTACTGGCAGATCCAGGCCCATGGCGGCGGCCGCGGTGTCGTTGACGCCATGCGCCATGCCGAGGCTCAATTTTGGCTCGACCAGCTCGTGCCCTTTTGCAAGCTTGTGGGCCAGCCTATCGAGCCGAGGGACGACGCGCTACCGCCGTTGACGCCCGACAACAACGACAAGATTCACACAGAGGACGACGACGACCGCGTCAAGACGGAGCTCCGCGCCGAGAGCCCGGCGCACGTCGAGCACGCGGCCGACGCACCGGCCAAAAGTCTCTCGCAGCTGCAGTGGAACGACATTGAGATCGTCCACTCGGACGTCGCGTACGGGCCGTGGGAGTCGGGGGACCCGGAGCAGTGCAGCCTCGGCTTTATCATCGACGAGGACGGGCTCGTTCAGTTCGAGTCCATGTACGTCGACGACTCGGTCTGGAGTGTATGAACACTAGCAATAGCAGAACACATTTAGTTTTTTATTTAATCCTTTTGCACAGTATTTGCACTTTATCATGTTCATAAATGTGCGTCCCGAGGATCGAAGCACGGACTTACGAGTGCCTCTGCAACCGGTGCTTTGGTCCCAACAGTTCGCTCCAAGGCGGTTGCGACGGGCGCAACTTGGGTGCTAGTCATTCCACACGCGCAAATAGTAAAATAGTTAGTCGACTAGCTGGCTAATGAGAGGCAAATGCCATCGCAGTTGGTGTCAATGTACGGATAGTACTTCTTGTCGGGCACGTCTTCGATGCAAATGCCCATGTCGAGGCCATTCTTTGCAAACGTCATGGCCCGCTCGGCGCGGTGGTAGCTGATGGTGAGGATGTCGCCGCTCTGGAACGTCTGGCCCTTGATCTTGTCCATGCGCGCGTCGAGGTTCTTGACATCGCCCGAGCACACGTTGTACGAGATCGCCGCGTCGACGTCGCCGTCGGGCTGGAAGGCCTCGAGCCCAATGTGCGTCTGGGGCGTCACATCAAACGTGTTGCCAGTCGAGACGATCTGGATCGAGACGCGGTCCACGGGGTGCGTGGCCTGGATGAACCCGGTTTCGTCCGCGATCGAGAGCGAGAAGCTCACAGTGCGCTTGTCTTCCGAGAGCAAGATCGTACCATCGGTGATGTCGATGGATGCGCCCGCGTCCCACTGCAACACGTCGAGGTTCAGGTAGTCGAGTGTCTTCATCAAGCGCTGCTTCTTCAACGGCGGCAGCCCCTCGCAGCTGAGGTCGCCTTCGCGCAAGTACGTCATGACGTACTCGAAGAGCGTCGGGTCGGCGTCGATAAAGTAGGCATCTACAGCATCATCAGCATCATCGATTGTGGAGGCCATAGCGTCGACGATGTTACCATTGTCCAAGTCGGGCTTCCAGTGCTCGTTGGAGAGCATTGCGTGGAAGTAGCTGCCTTCAAAGCGCAGCAGCGTCTCCTTTGGCACGGCAAAGATACGCCCGCCCACGTTGAGCTTGATGACCGAGCTCGAGAGCTTCTCGAGCGACTCTTCGACGCGCTGCTCGACCACACCCCATTGCCGCTTGCGCTCGTGCAGCAGGCTCGTCTCGGCCTCGAGCCGATTTGCCGCGTCATGGAGCGACGTGAAGAGCACGTCGAGCTCGGCCGCATGGGCCGCCCGCAGCTCGGCGAGTTCGTCGGCCAGCCGCGCCTGGAACTCGGCCAGCTTGCGCGCTTGGGCCTCGCGCAAGTAGGCTTCTTCGTTCGCGTGGCGCTCGCGCAGCTGGCGCAAGGCCGTGGTCGGACCTGCTGGCGTCGGCTCGGGCTGCATCATCAGGTGGCTCCTCCCTGTCCCGTAGAAGCTGAACTGCGAGGTCCGATTGGCCAGATGATCCGGATAAAGAATCCGGATACGCTACTGGCTGCTCCCTTCTCGAAATTCGAAATAAATTAAATACGTTTTTAAAAGCGAATACGAGCCATGTACTAGTTCTTTGTATGAATTATTTCACTCGCGTATTAAAATACATGGGAGGTGCAAATTTATATCGAAGACCGACGCTCGCGCTGCCACGTATGACGCTGCGCAAGGCGTCAACACAGTAGGAGCTTTGCCGACAGCGTTCAATGTGGGCACTCCTTGTAGTAGAAATATACTACATACGTGGCTATTCAGTCGGCTAAAACAACGACTGCAACGACTGCGCCTACCGCGAAATGCGTGGGAGTGAACACCAGTACTTGGTTGTTTGGGATCGAGCTGTCTACGGAGAGATCCCGTGGTCGACTTGACTCGCCGAGGGGTCTAGTTAATTGTAAGTACGGTTCGATGCAAATGAAGCATAGCCCGTTCGCGGTAGCGTCGTAAGTTTGCACAGGATGTCGATACCAACACCGTCACCGATAGACTCGGCAGGCAATCTGTGCACCAAACATGGTCACGTGGCGCTGTCGACCTTCGCACCCAGGGCGAAATACCGTGGCTCGTACCTACATCGGGATCCTCTCGGGCTAGTTGCCAGTACACTCACGAGATAATAATGCTAGACAATAGTAAAACATTTTATGTAATTCAGATCTTAGTACTCGAAAATGCCGTACGGCGATTGGATCGTCACCTTCTTCCCGACATGCGCCTCGACGCGGCCGACAATCTGCGCGTCGACGTTGAACGACTTGGAGATGGCAATGATCTCGGCGGCCGTCTCGGGCGCCACGTACAGTTCCATGCGATGGCCCATGTTGAACACTTGGTACATCTCCTTCCACGCCGTGCCCGACTCGGTCTGGATGAGCTCAAAGAGCGGCGGGATCGCAAACAAGTTGTCCTTGATGACGTGGACGTTCTCGACAAAGTGGAGGACCTTGGTCTGCGCGCCGCCCGAGCAATGCACCATGCCGTGGATCGACGACCGATCGACATTGTCGAGGATCTTCTTGATGATGGGCGCGTATGTGCGCGTGGGCGAGAGCACGAGCTTGCCGGCGCTCAGCGGCGCGTTGGCGACCGTATCGAGCAGAGCTTTCGAGCCCGAGTACACCAGGTCCTTGGGTACATTCGGGTCAAACGACTCTGGAAATTGCGTCGCCAGCGCGTGATGGAACACATCGTGGCGCGCCGACGTGAGCCCGTTGCTGCCCATGCCGCCGTTGTACTCGGTCTCGTACGTTGCTTGGCCAAACGAAGCGAGGCCGACAATGACGTCGCCGGCGCGGATCGTGTGGTTGGAGATGACGTCCGCGCGCTTCATGCGGCACACGACGGTCGAGTCGACGATGATTGTGCGCACAAGGTCGCCGACGTCGGCGGTCTCGCCGCCCGTCGAGTGGATGCCAATGCCTTGCGAGCGCAAGGTCGAGAGCAGCTCTTCGGTGCCGTTGATGATGGCCGAGATGACGTCGCCGGGCACGAGCGTCTTGTTGCGCCCAATGGTCGAGCTCAGCAAGATCTTGTCGACGGCGCCGACGCAGAGGAGGTCGTCAATGTTCATGATGAGCGCGTCTTGGGCGATGCCCTTCCAGACCGAGAGGTCGCCGGTCGTCTTCCAGTACATGTAGGCGAGCGCGGATTTCGTGCCGGCGCCGTCGGCGTGCATGACGATGCAGTGGGCGTCGTCGCCCGAGAGGTAGTCGGGCACGATCTTGCAAAAGGCCTGCGGGAAGAGGCCCTTGTCGACGTTCTTGATCGCGTTGTGGACGTCTTCCTTGCCCGCCGAGACGCCGCGGGCGTTGTAGCGCGAGTCGGCCATGCTCCAAAGATACAAAATTTGAAAATGTGCAATCTGGCAGTTGAGAAAGGACTGGCCGCCGCTGAAAATCGGACTTTTGCCCTTGAAATAGGATCGTTTCGGTTGAAATTCGGCTTTGTTCCGTCATCACGGCCTCAACTTGATGTGCGATGATGCATCATCCAAACGATGCGCGCGCCGAGTTGGGTGCCAACGACGGAGTCCGAGGCAGTGACGCCCCAGTAGAGAGGGCAACCAAAGCACGAGGCAACTCGATGTCTAACTTGACGTAAAAAGTATCGTGCGGTGGATGGCAGGCCGTGCGGAAGATGTCTCGTAGCGACGCACGTACGGGTTGCACTCCTTTGTGGGCGCCATGAGCAAGATACGAGGTGCGATGCTCGACGGCCGCAGCTTCTTCGTATACTTGGCTGTACTGCCATTGCGTCTGTGCGACCAGCACGCGACTGCAAGGTTGCGAGGCCGCTCGATTGGCTCTGCGCTCCTGTGCGACTGCCGGCTCGATGGCGCAACCATCTCGGTCATATCAGGGAAGAAAGCGGCCATGTCGTCAGCTCCCTCCAAATGAAAATGGCGCGTCGTGGTCTCACAAGCAGGCAGTCGCCTTGAATAGTCAGTGGCAACCAGCTTGAGTGAGGCATATGATGGCCATAGCGGTGGAAGACTGCGTCTCGCGCGCAACGGCCGCGCCATGTACAGTGCTCGTGGACTTGCATTTTTCATTTTCTAATGAAGCGCAGCTGTGTACATGGGCCGAGTTGGAGCATGGGACGGTGTAGTCGACGACTTGTGTTTGTCGATCAATCCTGCCTCGACAGAAGGCCGGCGACACGGGTGTCGATGCCGTATATGTTTCCACGAGCTGTGGACGGCGCCCTACAAAGCGCAATATTACGGGTATCTAGTGTGAGTAGGTGCATGACGGGCGTCGCTCAACAGCAAGCGGATGCCTTCTTCTTCCCCAAGACGGTGCACAGCGTCAACTGCTCTGAATGAAGCGATATGCCCGAGGCCGTTGAAGACGAGCACAAAAGATAGTGCCGATGAGTATGCTCCAACACCATGACAAAGCCCGATTTGTCAGTGAGTGAAGCGTGTGTCGTCGCAGTACGGAGTTTTGTTCAACAGGCAACCTGGCCTTGTCGCGAACGAGGCGCCAGTCCTGGGAGGCCCCACCGACACGACCGCCGCAACGCCGTGCGGACGTTATCGTGTTAGCATGCCACACGCAGCGGTTGCTATGAGACGGCGCGTGTCAGTACTATATCTAGTGTTTTTGCAGGAAAAAGGATGTGTCTTTGGGTTAAACGACCAACGTCATTCGCGTGGGGTCGCCGACGTTCACACTGGACGAAGCCCGTCCCAACTCAACTCCATGCGCGAGCTCAACTTCATTTGGTGGGGTCTTACCGCGTTGCAGTACGCGATACGCTGATGAGCAGCGATGAGCTACGCCAAGCAAACAAGGCTCGACCTCCAACACACCGAAAAGCGAGAACGTTTTAGCGATCCCTAACCCTGCATCTTGCTACGCGTAAGACAGATGTTGGCTGGTTACGCCGGCATGGTGCATCCAGCCTTCGATTCCCCGGCTCTTACTGCACGCCACTTGCACTGCAGAGTGGCATTCCCACCGCACCCGTTCCATTACAGCACGTTCGGACCGCGCGCCAATGCACACAGACGACAATCGCGAACGCCAAAAGGACATGTTGACACAGTATCGAGTAACGTCATAGCCTCCGTCCGTTTTGGAGTCGCCTTCTCTCGACATGTGTTTGCTACTGCAAGGTGCTTGTACTGGCCGCCAAGGTCGCGTCCAACAGTCCACCCCTGCACGTTAATCCCAAACACGATACTTCAGTGGGAAATCGGCCAATCTATGTCCATCGTCAAGTTGCTGGGGTTTTTGAGCACCATGAAGCCGACAACTCGGGTGCAAGGAGGTCGACAAGCCATGGGTCGTGCAAGTATTTCAGCGTGTTCACAAACCAATAGAGCCAGTTCCACCGAACAGCAAACTCAAAGGGCAAACTCAAAGTACATTTCACATGCACAACACCATTCCCGCCGAGGCAGATCGAATGCCGTCTTCTGCAGTTCGTGGAATCCTTATGTGCCACCGGTGGCGGCCCCGCCTCACAAAACCAACCACAAACTCAGATACGCAACTCAGTCGACTCAGAAAGAGCCATTCCACTGCAGTGCCTCCGCCTCGATTGGGATCGGAACTCCCGCGTCGCATGCAGATCTTGCGGAGTAGTTTGCACCGACATCCCAAGTCATTATTCAATTTCCCTTCACCTCTCAAGCCATTTCAATGAAGTCCTTTGCTTGCCTCCTCCTCGCCGCATCGGCCGCCCACGGCCTGCGTCTCTCGGCCCAGGAAAAGGTCGACCTCGAAGCCAAGCTCGAGGCGTGGAAGACTAGCCAAGCCGGCAAGCAAGCCAAAGCCAACGGGTTCCTCCCGCCCAAGACGGAGCACGGCAACCTCGAAGACGGCGAGATCGACGACGAGCTCGCTCGGTTTGCGACGACGCAAAAGATCGTCGATGATCTCAACAAGCAGCACACGGGCGCCGTCTTCTCGACCGACAACCAGTTTGCGCTCATGACCGAAGACGAGTTTGCGGCGTTTGTCAAGGGCTCTTTCAAGCACGAGGCGCCTACGCGCCAATTGCGCGCCGACAACACTCAAACGTCGCTCACGCAAGCGCAGCAAGAGGCGACGGGCATCGACTGGGCGACCAACAAGTGCATGTCGCCCGTGCGCAACCAAGGCAGCTGCGGCTCATGCTGGTCGTTTGCTGCCGTCGGCGCTGTCGAAGCGGCGCACTGCATCGCGACGGGCTCGCTTGTTGACTTTTCCGAGCAGCAGCTCGTGAGCTGCGCGTCGAGCGCGGGCTATGGCTGCCAAGGCGGCTGGCCCAACAAGGCGCTCGACTACATTGCTCAAACCGGTCTCTGTACCGAGTCGGGGTTCCCGTACGCGTCGGGTAGCTCCAACCAGAACGGCCAGTGCAAAGACTGCCAGAAGACCAAAGTCAGCGTCGGCAAGTCGGTCGACATTCGTGGCGAGAGTGCGCTCCAGAGCGCGCTCGATAAGCAACCGGTGACCGTTGTCGTCGAAGCCGGCAACAACGTGTGGCGCAACTACAAGAGCGGTGTCGTCCAGAGCTGCCCGGGTGCGCAGTCGGACCACGCGGTCATTGCGGTCGGGTATGGCACGAAAGATGGCCAGCAGCACTTCAAGATCAAGAACTCGTGGGGCACCGGCTGGGGCGAGGGCGGCTACATGTACCTCAAGCGCGGCGGGAGCGGCAAAGGCATGTGCAACGTAGCCGAAGCGCCGTCGTACCCGATGCTCAGCGGCAAGCCGCAGCCGACGTCCAACCAGCCGCAGCCCACGAGCAAGCCGACGGCCAAGCCATTGCCCAAGCCCACGAAGAAGCCCCAGGGCGACTGCAACGGCTGCAACGGGTGCTACTACCCCGCGGCGACGCAGTGCTTGGCAGCCGACTACGACAAGGAGTACTGCGAGTACCTCGGCCCCCAGTACGGCACCAAGTGGTGCACGTCGTAAAGTACACCATGCTTCATACTCGTCTTGTGCAACTTGCATATTTTGGTTGACCCTCTTGTCTGATAATAACATTGTCAAGTGTTATAAGTGGGCTATTATTGAGTTCTATCTCGCACCCGTATGGAAAATCGTCGATATATCACTTCCTCTACCAGTTCTTATGGCAAACTAGACCAATCAGATATGATCCACACCATTTAACGGTGCGAAACCACAATCAAGTTCTGAGTTGATGGGTCACAACCCCGAAATGTATTCCATTCCATGGTGTATAGTTGTCCATGTGTCTACGACTAGTCGTCCGTCTCGCGCCAGTGGTCGACGAGATTCGTAAAGAGCCCATTGGGGTTCTTGAGAAGCTCGCTCGGCGCATCAAACTCGGCAGCGGCGCCCTTGTCCATGACGAGTACCCGGTCGCAGTCGAGGATCGTATTGATGCGATGGGCGATCGTGAGCGTCGTGCAGTTGACAAACTCGGTGCGGATGCTCTCCTGGATGCGGCGGTCCGTGCTCGGGTCGATCGACGCCGTCGCTTCGTCCATCAAGATGACTTTGGCTTTCTTGAGCAGCGCGCGGGCAATGCACAGCAGTTGGCGCTCGCCGACGCTAAAGTTGAGCCCGCGCTCGTCGACAATCACGTCCAACGACGGCATCTCGAGGTGCGCGCGCTTGATCGCGACCCAGAGCGCGTCGTCATCAAAGCGCCCAAACGGGTCCAAATTCGATCGAATCGAACCGGAAAACAACACGGGGTCTTGCGGAATGATGGCAATCTTCCCGCGCAATTCGTGGAGACCAAGCTGTGCAATGTCGACGCCGTCAAGCAGAATGCGACCGCCCGAGAGCTCCACAAGACGCATGAGTGCGACGACGAGACTCGACTTGCCCGCCCCCGTGCGTCCGACAACGCCAACTTTTTCGTTTGGACGCAGCGCAAAGCTAAGGGTACGAAGGACCCGCGGGAGTCCCTCCCGATAGCGCAGATCCACATTGTCAAACACGACACGTCCAGATGCTGGCCAGTGCTGCGGCGGCGGTGTCGACGAGGTCCAGTCGGCTTCGGTCGCGAGCGTTTGGTACGCGTCGAGGCGCTCGACCGACACCATTTGCGTTTGCACAATCGCCAGAAACCGGACGGTCCAGTTGAGCACTTGGGCTACGTTGAACGAGTACGAGAGCGAGACACCGGCGACGCTTGCAAAGGCCGCGCTGTGCGGCGAGAGCACGGCGAGGAGGACGGCGGTCGCGGCCGCAAGCGCGCCAATGCACTCAACGCGCAGTCCAAGCCAGCACTCGGCGCTGAACGAGAGGAAGTACGCGCGTTGGTTCCGGTCCAGTAGGTACGCTTGGCGCGCAATGAACGCGGCTTGAACCTTGGACGCGCGAATCGTCGCGAGGCCGTCGAGCGTCTCGGTCAAAAGGGCGTACACTGGCGACCGCGACGTGGCGTCCATGCGCTGGAGCTCGCAGCTCGCAGCGACGTAGTAACGTTGCGCCATGTAGTAAAAGCCCGTGAGCGGAAGCAGCGCGACGCCAAAGAGCGGCGTCACGAGCAGCGTCATCGTCAGCGCCGAGAAGAGTGTCATGAGCGAGCTCAAGAGAAAACTCGCATTGTACGGGATCGACTCGTCGACCGTGTAGACGTCTTTCGAGAGGCGGTTCATGACGCGCCCGAGCGGGGTCGTATCAAAAAACGACATGGGCGCGCGAAGGACGGTCGCGAGGACCGACTCAAAGAGCGCTTTCGAGCCGGAGAGACCGGCCATGTAAAAGCCCATCGACCGGAGCAAGATGAAGGCGGACGCGAGGACATTGAGTCCGACAAAGACAAGGAGGTAGTACGTTTGGTTGGTCGGGTCGGCGTGCATCGACCAGTACGACAGCCAGAGCGTACTGCTCACTTGGGCCACCTGAGCGATCGCAAAGAGCAACACAATACCGGTCGCGACACCGTAGCCGCCGCACGACGTCAACCACGCGGCGTACGTGGTCCATGGCACATTGCCAACCGCGCGGTCTTCGTCGGCGATGAGGTCGCCCCGCATCGTCGTATCGGACGAAATCGCAGCCGTCCGCTTGGCTTGCTCGGCCGCGGCGTCGTTCGAGGGCGCCATGGACGCGTCGGTCGCATCGTCCGGTGCCGATTGAATCGACGCTAGCATCGCGGACAGCACCGGGTGCGCCTCTGGATCCGCGACCAACGAAGCGTACGGTCCCGCCTCGACGATGGCGCCGTTGTTCAACACGACGATCGAATCGACGTCCTTGAGAAACTGCAGCGCGTTCGTAACGAGGACGACGAGCTTTTCTTTGAGCGCAGAGCCAATGCACTCTTTAAAGATGTCGGCGCCCACGTGCGCGTCGACAGCAGCGAGCGGGTCGTCGAGGAGGTAGATGTCGGCGTCCATGTACACGGCGCGCGCCAAGGCCACACGCGTGCGCTGGCCGCCGCTGAGGTTGATTCCCTTCTCGCCAATCTCCGTCAAGTCGCCGCCGGGCAAGACCGCGAGATCGGCTTGGAGCGAGCACACGCTAACCGCGTGCTTGTACTTGAGCACATCGAACGGCAAGCCAAAGGTGATGTTGTCGCGAAGCGTCGCGTTCTGAATGAAGGGCTGTTGGCCGACGTACGCGACGGTGCCGCGCAGATACACTTGGCCTTGCGTGCACGGCACGTTGCCAAGAAGCCCGTGGAGAAGCGACGACTTGCCCGACCCAACGGCGCCCACAACCGCCACGAGGTGGTGCATGCCCCAGCGCGCATCGAGATGGGCGAGGGCCGGCCGCTCGCTGCCGTCATACATAAAGGAGGTGCCGTTGAGCTCAATGCCCGGCGATGCCAAATCGCCTTGCGTCACGGGCACGCGTTCGGGGCGGCCATAAAAGTCCTCGAGGCGGCCAAAGCTCACGAAACCTTCGACGACGCCGTTCATGGCCTCGGGCACGTTGTTGAGTGGCGACCGGAGAATCTCAAAGAGAGCAACGCTGGTGAGCGCTGTGCCAACGTCGAGGGTGTTGCCCAAGTAGACGTACGCGGCGAACGAGACGACCGTGACGATCGAGGGCACGGCGTTGAAGACGACGCCGGCGTAGCTCTTGGCAAAGACATACGACCGGAGTTGCCGGAGCTCGTCACATCGGATCGACAAGATACGCTGGAGGTACGACGGTTCCCACGCCTGGAGCTTGAGCACTTTGATGCCCGAGAGGACTTCGAAAATGACCTTGAGACGCACGTCTTTGACGTGCATGAGCGGCGTCTGCAGCGACCGCATCGCCCGCGAGATGGCACTGGAAATCGGCAAGAGCAAGAGCGTGACAGCAATGCCGGCAGCAAACGCGACGCCGAGCTGCACATACATGAGATAGAACGCGATACTGACTTGAACAAGTGTAAACCACGCCGCGTGCGCGTAGTTGGGCAGCGTCTGGAGGCGCTGGGCGTCAAGGCTCATGAGATTCGTCACTTGGCCCGTCGACGGTACAGCACCTAGCCGCAGGGCTTTTTGGTACACGGACATGACGACCGCGGTGCGCAGCCGCAAGCCGACTTCGTAGCACTTGAAGTAGTACTGTCGAAGGGCAAACGACTGGAGCACGCCGGCAGCAAAGATGGCGCCCGCGTACATGAGACCTTCCAATTGCGTCGCGTCCGGGTCGCTCAAGTAGGCGACGATCGACTTGATCAAAAGCGGGCCCACAAATTGGCTCATAATGTGCAGCACCTTGAGCAGCCCCGCAATGAGAAAGGGCCCGCCAAATGCACGCAACACAACGCGCCACATGCGCGGACAAGGCGACGCGGCCTCAATCGCCCAGAAGCGCTGGAAGGTTGCGTCGATGTTGGTCGCGCGGTCGGTCGGGTTGAGCTGGTAGAGGTCGTCAAACTGCAGCGGGCGCTGGTTGCCGAGGTCGAGAAGCGGCGTGAGCCACGAGAAGAGGAGCGAGCTCCCGCAGGCGCCAGCGTCGTGTGGGCATGTGTCGCTGAGCACCGGCGCCGCCAAGAGCGGCGACTGCTCGGTCGACTTGGATGGCATCGGAACAGCCACAAAGCGAAAATGACACATCTTGGATTGGCAGCGACTCGAAGATTTGGATACCGAAACCGAAGTTGCACTTTCGACTTCGATTACGCCGTGCCCGTTGCCCGTTGGAATGCGGATGTGGCTGCATGATGCAAAGTGCGGTCGGCACTTGTGCAGGTCGTGGGCTCGCCATCGGCGTCCTAGGAAAGAGGACTGCAAATGTCGAGTCGCTTGATCCAACCTGAGGAGCACATGCATGAATTGTTGTATGACAGAAGAGCGCTCGGTACGAGAGAGCGAGCTAGGCTAAAAAAAATCAAAGAACAAGTTGTCCATAGAATTGGTGAGGGTCAGGGTTCAGACTAATCGATTGCGTCACTGCAACTCGACGAGTACCACCGCAGCCTTGATTTTGTCGCATCGCTTGGATGGCGACTGCACAGAGTGTTGATCGATCCAGCAGTGCATGGACTTGCCATGGGAATTTGCTGACCCTTGGGCGTGGCACACGTGGCAGCCAGTCGCTCGTCGAATCTGTTGCAATAGTCGTAGATTCATGATATGCACGGTCCAGGTGCTACCGTACCTGTGTTGTATAAATTGAACGAGGGACTAGAGTTGGTACTGCAAGGTTGAGAGGGAACTGGAATATGACATGCACCAACCGTCCGCAAGATAGAACGGACACAACGAACCACGGCTTCTACCCAAGGGAACTAGCTGTCATGGCTATAGCCCGTATCCTATCCACATGCTCAGCTGGGCAAATGTCACTTCAGCTTCAAGCGTGGGACTATGACGTGAAGCTGGCTGGTCCTAATCGATGGCACCTTTCCGCTATTCCCGCTGCTCATTTCGCGTGCCGTTATTAGCTTCGTTGATGCTCTTTGACGCGATTCGCGCAGTCTCGTGCGCGTCTCCTCCCCGTGCGCATCCGCGCTTGTATGCCTGCGACTTAATCATTTGTTGAAACGAAAACTATGGGATTAATCTTGTGCTACATGTACGTGAAGCCTTTCGCGTCAGTAAGGATCTTATCGAGTTTGGCGCCGCGACAACGTTGATCGATAGCGCTCCTCTAACGGCTCGGACACACACACCGTGGTGTTAGCGAGCTTTCTTAGCATCTTCGTCAGCACAAGATCGCGTCTATGGTTTTTACGTTGCAGTGTGGCACCGATTCTCGCTTCCGACGATAGCATCGTCATAGTTTGCCTGAAACAACATTGAGGTGGCGAGGGTCCTGAAGCACCTACTAAACGAGCGTACGAACGTACCCTAACAGCACCAAAGTGTTGATAATGAAGCGGGTACGTTGCCCGTGTCGACACGGATGACACACCATCTTGGAGGCAGCAGATCGCAATGCGAGATTGCCGTTTGCTTTTCACGTGGTCAACGTGTGATTTTCACGTGGTCAACGTGTGATTTTCACGTGGTCAACGTGTGATTTTCACGTGGTCGACACCTTTTCATTTTTCTACAATACAAAGAGAGAGTGATTTCATCGGGATCCGGCGTGGAAAAGGATTTCCCACTTGCAACCCACATTGGCCAATGAGATATCGGTCACGCGATATGCGCGCAGGCCATTGGCTGATTTCTACCTGCATACAGCCTGTCCCATTTGGCCTGAGCATCGACCGACAAAATGGCGACACCGCAGCGCCCGCTGGGCCTCGAGCTCTCCTACTTTCGCCGCTTTATAGAGCTGCACGGCGGGCGGCGCGCCTTTGAAGGCAAGACGTCGGCGCAGGTGTGCTTTGACTACGTCGTCCCGTACACATCGACGTCAGAGGAGTCGCTCGTCGAGCACGTCCGCCTCCACACGTCCGACGCGGCGTGCGTGCAGCCCGCGAATTGGTACATTAGCCACGCGTGGGGCTACATCTTCCTCGAGGCGCTCGAGAGCCTCGAATTGTTCTTCCGCGAGCGCTCCATTCACGACCCGGTCGTGTGGTTTTGCGTCTTCAACAACAATCAGCACCGCGCAAGCGAGCATCCGTTTGCATGGTGGCAGTCGACGTTCCAGGAGTCGCTCGCCGCCATCGGCAACGTCGTCATGATCATGCACCCGTGGAAGAACCCGGTCACACTCACAAGATCGTGGTGCATCTTTGAGGTCTACGTCACGGTGATGGCTGGCGCCAACTTTGACGTGGCGCTAGCGCCCAATCAAGCCACCCGGTTCTTTGACGATATCCTTACGGACATGAGCGCATTCTACAAAATGCTCGCAAACGTGAGCAGCGAAGCAGCGCAAGCCACAGTGCCGACCGACAAGACCAACATTGATCGCGTCGTCACGAGCTCTGTCGGCTTCACAGGCCTCGACCGCCTCGTCCTCGAGACGTTTGAAGCGTGGATGAAGCGTGTGATCCGCGGGCGCGCCGCGCTGGCGTCGACGGCTCTCGAAAAAGCGCGGCTCTTGAAGGCACTCGCCGAGTTTGTGTCGCTCAACGGGGCGCTCGCCGAGGGCGAGGCGGTCGGCACCGAAGCGCTCGCACTGTACCTCGAGGCTGTCGGGCCCGACGACCCCGCCACTTTGTACATGCAAGGTCTCCTCGCCATGTTCCAAGGCCACCAGTACAAGCCGCGCGATCTCTGGGAACCCACGCTCGTCGATGTGATGCGCCGGCTCACGGTGCTTCTGGGTCCACTGCACGAAGAGACGCTCAACTGCATGTACCAGCTCGGCATGCTTTACGCAGAAGTGCTCGACCAGATAGACCACGGGCTCGAGCTGCTCGGCGAGACGCTCTCGCGAATGGTTGAGGTTTATGGCCCCGACCACCCGCGCACCATCGATACGCGGTTGGTCTTCACCATGTTCGAAGCGATCCGGTCGCAGAACGACAACGCTGTCAACGCTTTGGCCACATGTAACATGGACGCGCAGCGCGTCATGGGCAAGGACCACCCGACCGCGCTCACGGGCGCCACCTTTCTATCGCTGCTCCGCTCGCGTGCCGGCGGCTCGCACAGCGACTTGCTCGCAACGGACATTGCGACGGTCGAGCGCCACGAGCGCATCTTTGGTCGGGACCACGTAAATACCCACGCCAGCATTCTCAACCTCGCTACGACGTGCCTCCACGAAGGCGACTACGACCAAGCGCTCGCGCTTCTCAAGCCACTTGTCGTAAACGGCGATGGACCATTGGATGGCGCGCGGCGCGTGCCCCGCGCGATGGGTACGGCACAACAGATGCCCGGATAAGAGCTCAACGACCTGCGTAGCCCAGCGTGTCATGGCGGCGGCGTATGAGAAGATCGGCGAGTGTGCGCTGGCGGTCGACGCGTGGGAGGCCGCCATCGACGGGTTCCGTCACGTAAACGCCAAGGACGATCTCGCGGGGTCTGTCTGGAGTCTCTACTGGGCGCGCCACAAGGGCGACCTCTGGCCCACTCTAGCGTGCATTGAGACGCTGCTCGCACACTTGAAGCAAACGGAGCTGCTCCACGAAGGCTGGGGCTCTACGATGTGCTTGGCGTGCGAGCTACCGATGCTCGAGGGGATCACGTACATCTGCCCCGGCTGCACGATCGACCTTGGCGTTGTCTGCGCGTCCTGCCACGCACTCGTGCCCGACTGCCTCGACTGCGAACGCTCGGTGCTCTTGCCCACCGAGCCACCGGCCAGAGCGCTCCTCAAGATGCGCGTACAATGGCTCGCAAAAGAAGGACCCTCGGACGCCTTACGCGCCGCCAGCGACGCGCTCGCCGAGTACTGTCGTCAATGGGACTTGCCACTGGAGGACCCAGCACCCCAAAGAGTATCGACGCCACTGGAGCGCTTGACAGCAGCCACATCATCGACACCACCGACGCCATGCGACGACCCCGAAGCGAATAGAGGATCAATCGTTGGGTGGCTTTGTTGTTGGCGACAACGTCCCCGACACCAAACGAGCGAGTACAACCACGTCGAATAGGCGGCAGTGGGAGTAGCGTTCTAGTTGGTCGATGGTAGTCCTAAAGGTTGAGCCACTAATCGAGATGGGTTGTGCTGGGACGAGTTAGCGTTCGCAACAATAGCTTGAGCTCGGCGTTGTGGACGACAGCGAGCCAGTCACCGGTCCAGGCGGCGACAACAGAGGCACCCAGGGACCACACGTGGGCGACACCGAGAGCAAACGCCCAGTCCACAATAGCACCTCGCTGCAAGAGCACCGTGGCGCACGCCTCAATACACGGTACTCGGCACAAGTCACCGAGAGAGAGTTGAACATGGCGCACGAGCTCGGCCGTGAGAATGTCCAGCACGGGCTTGGTCGGCCGCAATGGCGGCGCGTAGAGCTCAAGCAAAACGGCTACGAGTTGGTTGATCGAATGAGTCGTTTGCATTCAGTGGTGTAGCAGCAGCTTGCTTTCCGTCACGCGAAACGGGACGCTCGCGATGCGCAAGATACTGTGCTTGACGTCGCCGAGGCCCGCGGCCAGTACAAACGCCGTGGCGGCGGGCGACGCCTCGATCGCCGTCTCGAGGAGGCTACCGTCACGGAGCTACGGCTTGCGCGCCAAGAGCTGGCCTACAACCTCGAACGCACCGTGCTGCAACGCATAGCGCACCGCCTCGATCAAGCCGCCTTCCTTGCGGTGCGTCAGAAGAAAGGCGACAACTGTCCACGCGCGGTGCTGGATCGCGTTCTCCAGCGCCAACATCGTGCAGCCCGCCGCCGATATGTGAGCGCGTTGACTTGACGGTGCAGCGCCGGCAGCACGTCGCGCTCGTCCAAGAGCGCAGCGGCAATCTCGAGGCGGTCCGTCTTGAGTGCCAACAGAATCGCGTCTGGCTTACGTCGTACTTTCTAGCCGGCTGTGTCAACCGGTTAGTGAAACCGGCTACTTCAGCCAGCCGGCTCGCGGCTATCAATGGCCGAGTGTATGGGGAAAAAAGTCATCTCCCCGCATCTCCGGGTGAGTCGCTGGGTGAGTCCCAATGCAAAATCGTACGCCGAGTGTCAAAAGACGGGCCAGCGATGAGGCACTAAATGCGTCGCGTCCAGTTGTGGTGGACTGTCGAATGTGGCTAATCCAACCAATCGTAACCGATAGGCTGAGCCGGTTCACTACCGGCTGGTGCGCTGGCACAATTGCAGCGTCATCAACTTGCAAACACGACGGCGACCTTCCAGCACGTTGTCCTGGAGCAGCCCGACCTCGCGGCCATCGTCTTTGGCTACCAGCCTGGTGTCTGGGAAGACGTGCGCCCGGCCTTGTTTGCATGCAAGTACCTCGCCACCTTTGACGAGGCCTCGCGCTTTGGCGGCAAGCACAAGCTCGACGCCTCCTCCTACCCGATCTTTACAGGCACGACCGAGTGGGCGATGACAGTGAGGCCCATATCGGGCGAGTCGCACGAGCTCAGCCGATTCACGCCCGACGAACGCCTTCCGCTGCACGTCGCCATTGTCGAATCATCACACGCGTGTTTGGTGGTATGAAAACTAGGGTCCTCGACCAAGAGACAAGTTGTCTTTTCTTTTATTCTATACACTTGGTCAATAATTTATATATACTCACAATCTCTATGCCATCTTGAGAAGGCCCACCGTGTCCATGATCGACTTTGGCTTGGCGCCACCGAGGGCATCGACGACATCAACCATCGTTGGCCGACGCGCAATGTCTTCCGAGAGACACGCGAGGAGCAAGGCTTGGATCGAGAGCGGCATCGTGGCAGCGGACGGGCCGAGCTCGACGGCCACCACGATTTCGTGCCAGGTCGAGCCAATATCCGTCGCTGGCACATCGGTAAACGCTTCCCAGAGCACGTAGCCAAACTCGAGGACGTCGACCGCCATCTCGGCTTGCGTCGACGCGACGGCCACGGCGCTGAACCCGCCGAGCGTCACGCGGCCGTCGAGGTCCACGATGCAGTGGCGCGTGCTCACGCTGTTGTGGGCAAGGCCGCACTCGTGCATGTGGGCGAGGCCGGCCGCAATGTCCCGCATGAGATCCGTCTTTTCGTCGTTCGTCAAGCGCTGGCCAAGGTACGTGTGCAGCGTGAACGCTTGCTTGTGCTCCGAGACCCAGTGCATATGGTCGTGGAGCTTGGCAACGCCGAGAATGCGAGCAATGCGCGGGTGGTGGCTCATCTGCTGCATGCGGGCGCTGAGGGCGTCGACGGTCGACGCGTCATGGAGAGCGTCGACGTTGACGGCCGTGCCATTGTAGCTGCCCGTGGTCGCACCGATCGCGACGTCAAAGTCCTCGGACGCTAGAGTCCGCGCCTGCTCCGTGATGCGCATTGCTTGGCTCGGGTACGCCTGCGTCAAGGCGCCGGCCGCATCCGAGAGCGTCGCAAGCTGGAACGCAAGTCGGAGGACGTGCGGGCCCGCGACAACGTCCGCAAAGAACGGCTGCCCGAGGACTGTCGCGTCGAGAACGACAACGTCAAAATGAACGTGCGTCGCGTGGTGGTCCCAGACAAAGGACTTGGTCTCGCCGTCCGCGACGCTGTAGCCGATTTCCGGTACATGCAGCGTCACGTGGACCATTTGCCCGCGCTCGATTTGGAGCCAAATGGGCAGTGGCGAGGACGCGGCGGCGTCGTAGGTTGCGAGGAAGGCCCAAATCGACAAGCCAAAATGCGACGCTGCGGCAAAGTTGGGGGGGCCGTACGCAGCAAAATGCACCGCGTCCGCGTAAGATGGCAATAGCGTCTTGTGGCGCACGGTTTCAAGCATCGGCACGTAGCTCTTGCGCTGCGTCGAGCGGACGCCGTAGAGTGGAAAAAACATGGCGGTCGACGAACTCTGGAGTGTCTTGGCGAGCGTCGTCATGGGGCTCGTCACGTGTGGCTGGAACGGAGGCGACAGTGGCGCGTCCGCTTCGACTTGATCCGGCGCGACGCTTGCAGGCGAAGCCATGGTTTGGTCGCCCGTGTCTGGCACGTTGTCGTCGTCGTCGTTTTGCGTCGACGTCGTCGGCGATGCAGGCGCCGAGCTGGCCTCGGACGACGGCAGCGGTGTCACGACCACGAGCTTGACATCCAACGAGTCGGTGACTGTCGACGCATCGGACGACGACCGTGGTGCGGCCATCGGGGCAAACACCGGGACGTCGGTGGTCGGAAGATCCTTCTTGCGCGGCAAGGACTTGGACACAGGTGCGTGACGGGGCTGGGGCTCGAGAACCAACGCCGAAGAGTCCTTGGACAGGCAGGTCCCCATACTGCTGGTGGTGGTGTAGATGACGGGGCAAATTGAATTGTTGTTGGGTGCTCGCACTACGGTATCAACGGACCTGCCGTTGATGCGCCAAAGACAAGATCGCGGGCGGGATGTCACATTGCACTTGGTGTCTCTTGATTTCAGTATACCACGTCGGCTGGTCGTTTGCATAGAAAGTGCAATCGTCGGGAGCTGGTGCATATCTCAATACAACGTGCAAAATACACGTATGGTCGTCTCATGCAGCATGTCCTGCACATGGTCGCGATCGTCGTGTCGCTGCCCGTGGACATACACTGCCCCTTGCGCCGATGGCATAAAAGCTACCGCGCCAGAGACAACGCGACCACGCTGGAGCGCTAGATCCCACGTTGAAGGCGCGTATGCGTCATTTTCAGCACACGCAATGGGTGGGTCAATTGCCGTGCGGCCAGTGTGGCGCCAGGAGGCAAGCAGGGGCAAGGCGGCACGCCAGAGGTCCCGATTATGCAACCTGTCGTTGAACGCCGCATAGACCCGTCACCAACATGGAAGGGTTGGCGACTAGTGTTCTTGGAATTTAGTGGTCGTGGCGGAAGCAAGTTGAAGCGCGGTGGACTGTCGGCGCGACAAGGCGTCTGCGAACACGACATTTTACGTGGTTTCGACGCTGTGGGTCAAAAAGGGAGTTCTTGTCGACTTCGTTTAGTCTAGCGGTTTAGCCACTGCTTTACCACTAGGTAGATCCGGGACAAGAGAGAGAGCCCCACTTTCTGATTCTGTGCATGGTCCTCCCTTACCACTATCGGCCCATCTCGGCCAGGCACGTTGGTACTATTTCGGATACGTCAAGGCAGAAATTTGGGAATGGATGAAGCGTCGATACCCGGTAGTTAGCTCGACAAAAGCAGCACGGGTAATCAGAGCACTCATACCGAGGTGACATTTGAAGTTTAGACTTTGCATTGGCCATGCAGGACCCGACACACGACATTTGCGAGGGCTTCGGCGTGCATTAGACGGCGCGACTAAACTCTCGGTGGCTAACGACACCAAGAGTTTATGTACTCTTGGACGACACCCACTAGACCTAGCCAATGTGTACACAGCAAACAAAAAATACTGTACTAGTATTATGTTACTCGGCAACGTGGCTGCTCGGCAACTCGGCGGACGCGGCTGCGTGCTCTTCAGATGTTGACGCGTCCAACGTTGAAGTGGGCACCTCCACGTGCGTACTCGTGGGCCGCGACATGATGTCGGACCGGATCGCGTACTTGATGCCCGCTTGCACTGGCTCGCCCGAGTGGAACACCCGGTGCTGGAAGATGAGGACGCGGCCCGGCTTGGGCACAACGTGCATCTCGCCCTCTCCGATCCACATGCCAGTCTCGCCGCCCGCCTCGATCGAGTTCAAGTAGAACTGCACGGTGAGCACCGAGTACTCGCCGTCGCCGCGGTTATAACAGCCATCGTAGTGAGGGGAGAAGTGGTGGCCGACGCCGTAGCGCAGAAATCGAAGGCACTCGTTGATGCCAACCAAAGTTCGGTTGCCAAAGGTTGCAGGAAGATGGTCCTTGATACGGTGCCACAAGGTCGTAGCGGTTGCCGTGTCGTTCAGAATGCAGCGGTCGCTGTGCCGAATCTCAGGACGGAGCTGTTGGACGCCGTAGCCGACGTGGGTCAGCGCAGCCTCGTAGCCCTTGGCGCTCGCCTCAGAGAATGCAATGAGCTTCTCGCACTCGTCCCGTGTCAAGACGTTGTCGAGGACAATGACCAAGTTTCCTTTCGTGTCGATCGAGAGAGGTTGGGCTTCGACCAACACAGGCGTCCACTCGGCGGCAGTGAGGCAGTCGACAAGATTAGGGGCAGGTGGGGTCGACATGGTGTGATTTGAAGCATGAAGCCTCGCCCTGACGCTGCTCTGATTGTTGATCGAATCTATCAAGTCCGTCCATAAAAATGGCTCAAATATATCGCGCGTGTCGCAACCGGATTTATTGAATGATCGATATATTATCAACTTGATATTTCACTGAAATGTGTCGAATAAATGTGTATACACGGACGACATGTATTGGAACCTCTAGTTTTCCAGTACTTCGTCCCCGAACGACTATGTAATATAGCATTTACATAGTTGTGGTATCGGCACGCGGTCGGGACATGATGTCGGATCGGATGGCGTACTTTCGACCGTCGAGGACGGGCTCGCCCGAGTGGCACACCGGCTCGTGCGCAAAGATGAGGACGCGCCCGGGCCGAGGCTCCACAAGAAATGGCACGTCGCTCTTGTCGTCGAGCCAGAGACCCGTGCCGCCACCAGAAGCCACGCTGTTGAGGTACACTTGAATGGTGAGCACCGAGTACTCGCCATTGCCACGGTCGTACGTGCCGTCGTAGTGGGGCTTGAACTCGTGGCCGACGTCGTAGCGCAAAAACCAAAGTCGCTCGTTGATGCCAACCAAAGTACGGTCGTCAAAGGTGGACGGCAGGTACCCATTCAGGCGGCGCCAGAGAATGTCGGCTGTCTCGACGTCGTCGAGGATGCAGCGCTCGTTGTTGCGGACATCCGGTCGGTACGCCTGCCGACCACCCCCACGTTAAGCAGCGCACGCTCGTACCCACTTGCTTCAGAGAATGCAATGAGCTCAAGACACTCGCGCGGCGTCAAGACGTTGTCCAGGATCAGAACAAACGGGCCGTCGGGTGGTGCGACAGCCGGGTGCACTTGAATGGCCGGAGATACCGTGCTGTCGAGGCAGGTCGACAATCGAGCGGGGACGACAGAATGTGGCATATTGGTCGAGCTACTGCTTGTTCAGCCACCCCTCTGCCACTTGTTGGTGAATGCCAAGTATAAGACGGTGAGATAAGAATCAGGAGTGATGGTCGGTATCTTTTGAGGTGAATGATGGTGCTTTGTTGAGCACTGTGCCTTGGTGAGTTCCCTGGGGAGTTCCACGGTGAGGTCTGACTCGTGGCCTCAAATAATCCCGTGTGCTACTACTCTCTAGACGTGCTAGTTTCTCTAGAATGGTGTACGGTATGTGTACCAAGCGTACGATTCCTTGGCGCTACAATATCATCAAAAATGGCAAAAACATCGGTCCCACCGGGCTTCGATCCCGGATTGCCGGGCCATAAGGCCGGAGTGCTGCCACTTACACCATAGGACCTCTCGCGATGTCGTACGGGACCATCTTACGTACATGTATCGCCAGTCTCTGATGGGAATAGACGACCATCCCTTGTGCCCACCAACGAGGATGTTGAAGCCAAGAACGAGCGACTCTTCAGCATTGAGACATCACTCCGTACAGTCTAGCAGCTTCTACCACCGTCGGGATGGCGAGACTGGCGAGTTGGGCTCCAGCGGAGTAGCCGTTGGTAGTCCAGTTCCATCTAGAAAAGGGCGCTTCGGGAGAAAATACAATCGTGGTGCTGCAACGCTGAAACAAGAGCGGTCCCATGGTGTAAACGGCAGCACTCCGGCCCTAAGGCCCGGCAATCCGGGATCGAAGCCCGGTGGGACCTCCTTTTTTATAGATTAATTCACAACACTAAAGTGTTATTTCTGCATCGCAACAGAAAATATTATATATATGAACGTGTTCCGCGTTATCTTCATTATGACACAAAGACTTCGCATACGTAGCGCTACGCCTGAATGCGTGGGAGTTAGCACTTGGTCGTTGGGAGTGAGCTGCGTACGGAGAGATCCATCCCGTGGTGGACCCCACTCGCCGAGTCATAGCTCGCGCGAGGTCGTACGCAGGCTCCTGTACTCGGACCACCCGACAGACGAGTATGTCGTCACCCATATCCAGCCAAAATCAACAGACAATATTACGAGAAAATTACCATCGCCGGGGCTTCGATCCCGGCTGCTTCCTCGCAACGCTCGTGCGTTACGGTTGACACTACAAGGTCGCAGTCGCTCCATCTCAATTGCATCTCAACTGCATCCCACACAGCAAAACGGGACTGCTATCTTAGCCCTAGCCCTAGGGTTAGGCCATGGTCACGAGGAGGCCGTCTTGTGCGTAATGCATGTGCATGGGGAACGCGCCCACGTTGGCCGTGAGCGTTCCGTTGACGCGCATGAGCAGCCCTGTCGTCATCGTCTTGAAGAGCACCGAGATGAGCGCCGGGTTGAGCAGCGACGCGACCTCGGCGTGCAAGCACGAGCCTTCGACCGCACCGGGGCACTACGTATGTTCCGTCACACTCTGTACAGACGACAACATCTAGACGTACCAGAGGGATCTTGGACGAGGCGCCGCAGTTGGCCCCTTGGCAGCACGAGAGGCAGCCCGCCGTGTTCTTTGGCGGGATCACCATCGCCGCCATGTCCTTCGGGTGAAAGCGCGCGAGGAGCTGCTCGTAATACTCGTCGCAGACAAGGACGCCCGCTACAAGCGACTCGCATCTCGGCTCTCAGAGCCAAATAAGACGTACCCGAATCTTTGCGCTGGGTCTTGCACGGATACAGCTCGAGGTCAACCGCCGTCACGTCGATCGTGTGGCCAAACGGGTTGCGCAAGACGAGTGCAGTCGCCACCGTGAGCAGGTGCAAGATCGACGGCGGGTACATGAACGAGCTAGCGACCAACGTCGGCGTCTCGGGAAACAGCATCGGCAGTGGCGGCACGGCCGTGTCGAGCGACAGCTGCGACAGCGCCGGCTGCAGCAGTGTCTTGTTGGAGCTCGCCGGGGTTCCATGAATATGAATCTACACATCTATCTATCAACTTGATACAAAAACCCACGATCAACCGTTTGCGGACGGCCGTGGGTGTAGTAGCCCGACACAAAATTCGACAAGAAGGCATCTGCGAGCGCCGCCGAACTCGGCGCAAGGAGAAACGACCCAGTCACAAGGCTCGATGCATTGCAACACGCAAGCGACACGTTGTGCAAGCGCGCCGACCCAAGACGCCCCTCTCCGTCGATGAAGACGTCCACGAGTATATCGCCGAGGGTCGCCGCCATCTGCGACGGGTTGCGCATGGCAATTGTCATCGACAAGTAGAGCTCCGACGCCGTACCTACGCCCCATAATCGTCCATATCGCTTCAAGCAGTACAAGGACCCTACCCCGCGTGATATCGACATTTTGGATCTCCACCGGACTGCCTGCAAGGCCGCCCATGCCTTGCAGCGCCATGGCGCCATTCAGTGGAATCCCCGAGAGCTCAAGCGTGCCCATGGGCGTCACGGCCCGCGGCGACGCACCGTCTCCTTCCGCCGACCCACTGGCAATCGAAAGCGACACGACGTCGGTTGCAAAGACGGTCGCAGAGATGAACGCCGCCATATGAGCTCTACCATCGCCATTCGAACGTCAGATGCACAGCGTGCGCAACGTACCGAGACGTGGCGGGAATGCGCAGCGCCACTGCATGCGGCATCGCAATCTCGAGATGCCCCGCGCCCGGCACCAGCTCCGTGTACGTGACAGCTTGACGAGGCAGCTGCATATGACCGACGCTTGTATTCTCAAAGACGAGGTCGGCGATCAGCGAGAGGTGGGTAATGTTGACGGGGAGTCGAAGCGCGTCGGGCATGGCGATGAGCGCCAACAGCGTCGCTTGCAGATGCATCTCGCCGTCGTCCGTGAACGCCACGTGCATGCGCGGACTCGCGAGGCTCTTGACAAGAGCAAACGATTTGTCAACGCCTGGAAACGTCGTCGGCAACGTAAACGACGTCAGTGCTTGCTGCAGCCTACGATCCCAAGGACGTAATTGGACGATACGCGCTGCTTCTGTACCAAGGAACGTTCTGGGCGACGTGCGTGAGCTCGATCGCGAGCGACGATGGCTTGTATGCCAAGTAGTTGGAGAAGAAGGCGTTCATGGCCCGACTCACGCCGCCGTGCGCGTCCAAGTCCGGTTTCAGATGACCGGCGAGCGCGATCGCATTGGCCCCGGGCGCCATCGCAATCACGCCCGAGACCGCCCCAAACGCTTCGTCACCCGCGCGCAACGTCATCTCGACCTCGCCCACCGGCATGTCGACGACCGACGGATTCCAAATCTAGCATCCGCACCATCAGACGTCGATCCTAAGTACCTTGGAGCGTACCACACTCGTGGCCGAGAACACTTCGCCTTCCGGGGCGAGCACGCCCGGCATCGAAAAGTTGAACACCGACACATTCGAAAGACCGTCCATTCCCTGCAGTGGCGTACTGAGCACGAGCGGGATATCGGCCAAGTGGAGCGTGCCTAGCCATAGCCAAGTCGTCCACGCTGTCCATATCGAAGGCGAGGTCGCACCGAGGGCCCCCGTGGCGTGGACTGCAAAGCGTCCAGCGAGTGCCAGCGTGACCTACGATCGTTCCGTCAGCAATCCTCCAAGACACAAAGCACTAGGAGCACGTACGTTTCGCGCACGAAGCATGCGCTGTACGAACGCGCCAAACGACTCGCCATCGCGGGTCAATACGAGGTCGGCCGCGAGGTCGAGATGCAGCTTGGTTTGGGCCACCAACACGTCATGAACGACAACCGACGTACTGGTCAAAGCACCGAGCACCGCACCCTATCCCGTACATCATTTTGATGGCTTCATGACAACGATGTTCATACCATCGCCACATCGGCGAGCTGCAGCGCCATCGTCATATTAGATAGCACCAAGGGCGAGTGCGGGCCGAGCGGGCTGTTGGCCGTCACCACGACACGGGTTTGTAGTCGCACCGTGCGCGCTACACTTGGTCATGAGCTCCTCTCTGGCATCGTGCATGGTGCATACGTCCCGTCGGCACGACTTGCATGTAATCGAACGCGAGGTCTGAGATAAGCGGCATGGGGTTAGGTGGCAGCTACATAACAACGCAAGTCGCATCGGGCAGTGTCAATAATGACGTGTACCGCGGAGAGGAGCGAGAGGTTGGTCAGCGCTGCATTGTACAGCGGGACGGACGTGGCGTGGGGCGAACAAGCCGTGACGCCCACGGACGCGGCGCGGTCACTGAGGTATCTGCGGTCGTCTGTCAGCCATTGAAACTGCAACCGAAGCACTCACGTCGATATCATGGCACTGGTCACGAGCGAGTCGGTCGAGACGATCGAGCCCGTGAGCGCAAGGTGGTTGTAGCCGGTGGGCCCAAGGTGTCGGCAGGCGCTGTCCGATGCGTCCGTCATCGTCACCTACAGACGTATTGACGTCATACGCGTCACTAGAGAGAGAGAGACGTTGAGGCTGGCGTCGCCCGAGATGCGCCCAATGTTGGCCGTGACGTTGCCCGGCGTCGTGTATGCAACGTCCAAACAGAGCGTGCCCACGGGTGTCAGTGCAGTCGCCGACGGGTTCAAGAGGCACGTCTCGATGTGTGCCATCACGCTCGTCTTCGTCGACGCCGTCAAGTCCATCTACACAGCGTGACGACGCAATGAGATGCTACGGGCATGCACCTGCGTGATTGCAAGCGTCGAGAGGCCGTGCATCCCGGTGAGAATCATGGCTTTTTCAAGCGACAAGCCCGCGATCGGCACCGAGAAGAGCCCAAGGTGCACCGAGAGGTCCACCGTGCCCGAGAGCATCCACGCGGTCGTGTTGGACTGCACCATCGCGGCAGCAAAGCGGCCCCAGACGGCCATGTCAGTCACCTACACGCCGATGAGACACCTCGAGAAGGTGCGTCGTCGTACGTTGAGCGTTGCATTCGCGATCGTGTGCAGCGACGTGCCATGCGAGATGTCCATCGATGGCGTCATGAACGAGCCAAAGATGCTGCCGTTAAAGTGCAGATAGAGAGTTGCCGCGGCCATTGTCGCTCCAAAGGGACTGCCCGACGCCACCTACACGCACCATCGTGCATCACCGTCCAAAACAAGCCTCGCATACCTCGAGCTGCGTCGTGAGCTGCGCGCTGTGGGCGGCAGGCGACGCCAGCTGCATGCGGCGGATGGTCATGCCCGTCGTCGCGAGTGCATGCTGCGCGATCGGGCGGAGGCAGACAGCCACGCCAACAAGGAGCGCTGCCAGCAGCCCGAGGCCCACGACCAACTTGCGCCGGAGCGTCCATCGCTTCGACTGCACAGGCTCGTCGTGCTCGAGAAAGCCCGTCGCGTCCTCCAGTAGCCGCGTATCTTCCTCGTCGTCGGCTTGCCTCATCTTGTCAACTGCTCGAGAACACGCAAATAGTACAAATAGTGAAATAGTGTACGAAAACAATACCAACACTATATCGCGTTCCACAGTATATAAATATAGGGGTAGGGTGGTGCACCAAAATCGGTTTATTGACAACACGAATAAACACGTCACAAAAACTAGCGACACAACGCGTGTTGAAGGGAACAAAAATGGCTTTCCAGTAGGAAAAATCCTCATTTGTGTCGATAGAAATCCCAAAGTTTCCTATTTTTGCCGACTGAGACTGATCGTGACGCGCCCCACGGCAAAGGCCAAGGTCGAGCAACGCGCCGCCAGCCACGCAACGGCCCTTCCCTCGAAAGATGCAGCGGCCGATGCAGGTACGTGTACCCCCCAACCTCTCGCTTCCATGTCGTATCCCTTAGGTACTAGTGCCGCCCTCTGAGAACGCGGTGAACACGAATGACGCGTTGTGCACGGGTTGAATCGACTCGAATGAGACAGTCCCTTCTTTTCAATCTAGCAAGCTAAGAAACTAGGTCGTACTAGCAACTAGCAAAGATGTTAGTTGGTTCTGGTACCATTTGAACAGAAGACGTACTGCATGCTATGAGCCATCGAGTTGCCCACCGGCAAGAATGTTCGACTCCAGTGCTCGTCGAACGGCTATGGACGCGTTGGAACACGTTGCCGTTCCGTGATGCCCACGAAACTGCAAGTGCAAAGTCTGATCTCTCCAAAGACAGCTGTCGACGAGGTTGTCTTGCGCCACCAACGGTATAGTTCAACAGGGATGCCGTAGCATGACGACCAACGCAGCACGATCGCGTCATGACTCTATCTTATCAACACAGCCAGATCGTCTCTTCTATAGCTTCTATCAATATGGTCTACGAGTTGTCGGTGGCCCACACGAGCCGGTCGAGGAGGACCTTTTCCAGTACAATCCCATGCGCATCGGCTTCTTCGACGCACGTCCACGCCACGTCAATGTTGTCGCAGTCCAAGCACGCGTGGATCGCCGCCTAGCACAGCACCAACGTGAGGTCGCACGCTACGAGTACGCGCTTACGTGATAGACGATCGCATTGTCTTCGACGAGGCCGAGGCCGACCCAATCGAGAAACGCGCGCACAAACACCGTCGGGTCCTGGCGCTCTTTGCGGTGGGTTACAAAACACACCTACCCCCAATGAGTTCCCCTACCCGCATATGGCTAGAAACACGCACCGTAAACACGTCGGCCGGCAACGCCACTTCATGCAGCGCGCCGTACTCGAGCAGGCGGTTCAAGCTTAGCATGTCGTGCGCGCGCGTCACGTCGAGCGCAAAGTGCCGGAGCAATGACGCCGGCACGACCATATCGGACGCCTCGAATATCTCAAACACCGCCATGGCCTTGCTACCGTCGTGCTCGAGAAAGTACGCACGGATGGCCTCCCGCTGCGACGACGACGATGCCCGCAAAAGCGCTTCCAGTGCCTGCGCATGGCGCGGGTTGTCCATGTGCCTGGACTCGGTGTGTTCAAAGAGGTCTGTCGCGAGCGCAAAGTCCCCGGCGGCCAGCGACGCCACGAGGAGCGTCGGCGGAAGCTCCTTGAAGAGGCGTTTGTGCGTCGATGCAAGCGTGAGCGCCGACGTCATCGAGGTGCCGGCCCGCTGGCACGCCACGAGGTAGATGTCGAGCATGTCACCAAACGTCCTCGCCTCGGCGGTGGCCGCCAATTCGAGAAGCGCCAGCGCCCTGGCTTCGTCTGCGCCGAGTAGAACCATGAGCTTGGGACCAAAGAGCTGTGCAAACTCCGCCCGCAGCGACGGCGTTGGGAGCGAGAGCGCCCACTCGGCAATGCCGTCGGCGGAAATGGCGTGCGGCGGGCGGAGGCAAAAGGCGGCGACGGCCGGCGTCACCAGCGACTCGCCCGCCGACAAGAGAAAGACCACCTTGGCGCTCGTCGGTGTCAAGAGCTGCTGGAAGCGCACCACGAGCGCCCAGTCGCAAAGAAGTAGGCTACTACGCAAGCCCGAAATGATGACGTTGGGCGGCGTGTGCGTGAGCTTGTTGTGAGCGAGGGCTTCGAGGAGCAGCGGCAAGAGACGCGCGTGGTGGCGGCGGTGGCCTTCGTTGTACAGCCACGTCGTAAAGACGTCGGGCGAGAGGCGCCAGTCGGACCGACGCAGCACGCACCGAACAAGATCGTGGAGAAGCTTGAACTGATCCTTCTCGCTGCTCTCAATTAGATCGAGCGCCACCATCGAGAGCGCGCTGGGCGCCGGCGACCCGCAGAACGGAAACTGCTTGATCATGACGTGCGCAATCGACGGCGCAAGCGCCTTCTTCCGATAGACAAAGTACGACACGAAGTGCTTCCACGTCTTGGGCAGCGAGAGCGTCCCGGGCAGCGCCGGCGCAAACTCGGTCAGCGCGTGCATGTGAACGAGCACATTAGCCATACCCGGCCGAATCTCACCGTCGTAGCACCCGTGCGTGTACAAGCGCAAGGCCTCGTCGTACGCCTTCATGTGCATGCACTGGGCCAAGAGCCCGGGCGCGCTGCAGTGCTGCTGCGTCGCAAGCGACACGAGCACGCGCAGGAGCCGCCGGCGATCGTCGAGCGTCGTCGCTGTCGTGGGCACAGCGTCCAGCACCGCCTTGGTGAGCGCGTCGGGCATATCGACGCGACACGTCAAGGCCGTCGCGAGCGCAGCATGCAGCGGCTCGGCGCTGTTCAACGACGCCGAAATGGCCGTGAGCACATCCGCCTTGGGCAGCGCCGTCATAGCTGGCAGCGCTGGCAGCGACGTCGGCGCAGGCTGCGCAGCGTCATCACCCTTGGACCAGCGCCGCTGCAGTGCGTCATAGAGCGACGATTGCGGCGCGAGCGTCGCGAGGCCGCGGCGCGCAGGCGTGGCGTCCACCGCCAGGCGTCGAAGCATTTTTATGCAATGGCGCATCCGGATACGCATGCGCCTATTTGTGGCATGTGCCAAATTGAAGTTGTGCGACATCTGCGCGCCCACACTCCATTCTCCCGCGACGAGTCCCACAACCACAAGCCGTGAACAACAACCGAGCCAGAATCTACATAGCCTATACTCACATAGCATTTATAATCTTGTTATGACATAGCTTCAATAGCGATGCACGACTCGTCTTTTGTCTGCCAAAAGACGTATATGCGAAGACTTCGTACGGTATGCTATGTACTGCGATCGCGACGCTAATAAATTAGTGGCCCGTACAATAGCAAACGCTCGTGTGGGCACAGACTTTGTCAAGCAGCGTATTGACCAAGACCATAAATGTACTAGACAAGTGTATCGTGGCGCTAATTATATCTTCAACGCGGGAAAACACGAAGTGCGCGGCATGGGCGCGTGCCTCAGTCGCGTCACCCTCGTGGGCCCGCAGTATTCGACGACCGATGGCATGCAAGCGCTCTTCCACTCGCTTGGGTTCACTGTGCACGACACCAACCGTCTTTACAACGCCTTTCTGCGGGCAGACGCAGGTGTCGTTCGCTGATGGCGTCACCTTTTCCAACGACGCTGTAGACAACACGGGCGGGCTTTCGTTCGTCGAGTTTCTCACTTGCTTTGGTACGTTGCCAACCCACTTGACCAGTAAAAGGACGATTAATGCACAGATCTCGACAATACCGAGTTTACGAAAAAGACATTTACGGTGCGTGCTCGTGCCGCCCCATGGCGCTCATGGTGTTGCCTGTAGATGATGGATGTCGATGGCAACGGCGACGTGGTATCCCTGACGCGTCGACCGAGGTCGCTCGAATGACTGTTGTTTTTTCTAGGATTTTGAAGAATTTGTGCTCGCCATGTGGAATTTCTGTACGATAAACAACTTGTCATGCAGCGACGACGCTGCGCGTAGGTCTCTTCTCCAAGGAAGCGCTCATTGGGTTCTCGTTTGGCCTCTACGACGAAGACGGCAGCGGCGAGATTGGCACGATGTCCAGCATAGCACCAAGGCTAAGGCTTGTGGTAGACACGCTCGAAGCCCAGCGCTGCCTGCGCGAAGTCTGGGGCGACAAGTGGCAGCACAATCCGCACGCGAGCACAATTAGCGAAAAGCTTAACCTCCTCGCCCACCTCCACGGCGGTCCATTATCGCATTTCTCATTCTATTGTGCTAAACCTTTATGACTAGGCTCGATTACAAAAGACCAATTTGTCAAATTCATGCATTCGCACCCGATTTTGCTCTTTCCCGCCTTTCAAGCACGAAAACGACGAGCCTCCGACGCAATATAGTAATATTTGGTGTCTTGTAGGTCCAACACGAAATGATTGCGCGCATGTACGGCGAGTCGTTCTGGCGGCGCATCGAAGACCAGCGCCAGGCGCACAAGACAAAGCCCGAGCCGTGGCCGACCGACGACGAGATTTTGGATCGCTTCAACGAGTACCACAACCAAACGATCTGTACATATTGGACTCTATCTCGGGCGACACTCATCTTTGCTATCTAGTCAACGGCATTGAGCATGCGCCCCTCTCCGAGGGCGCGCCAGGTGCGTCACCTGACGTGCAATCGGTTTGTCACATGACCCTAGTCCGCGACTACAAATTCAAAGAGTCGTTTCGAACCAAACAAGCCAGCAAGGGACCGGCCAAAAAGTACAAGAGCCCGACTAAAATCGCAGTCGCCCCCGCGGGTCGAAAACCCTCGATCCGGGAGACTCTGCGGCAGCAATCGATGAAGCTCGCGGCCAGGATACCCAAAGGAGGAGCAAAAAAAAACACTTGAGAGCGTCGTCACTCGACGTGTAAATACTTTAACGCGTGCACGAGTCCATTCAACGTCATGTCCACGACGTGCGTTGGCGGCAACGGGCAAACGAGCAACAGGTGGTACGCGCCAAAGCTGTGCACGTGGAGCGCGCCATCAAACTGTACACTGGAACTCGGCGGCAACATCGTCAGTCTACAGCAACCATGGGTTCTTTTGTAAATTGAAGAGGGATGCTGTACAAGCCAAGTCCGTCGAGGACGCGCATGAAGGCGCGTTGCATCGCATCGGAAACAAGCGCATCGCCGCCGGCCCATCGCAACTTCCAGATTTGGCCAGCTACGATGCGAGTGAAATCATAGTACGTTCCAGCAGCCTAGCGAACAAGGTGTCGTCGATTCGTGCTGCACCTTGGTCGTTGCTTTGCGCTGGAGCCAAGTATGCCAGCGCCGGCGCCACCGTGAGCGTGCAGCGACAGAGACTGTCAAGGGTCCGACCTAACACCCATTAAAGCGTCCCGGTAGAACACAAGAGGAAGAAGGTGCACCTCCAAAGCCTCGCTATCAAACGCCACAAGCGCGAGTTCGGCCGCCTAACGAAGCATGCAATTGAGTGGAGAATTCAGACCAAGCGCGTACATGGCGCTCACGGATGGTTTCGAGTACGCTCGAGACGGCAGCGTCGAGGGCCTGCACTATGCACGCTTGAAAGTATGGGACTTGGCGCTACAAATGTAAGATGAAGCGATCAACTAGAAATGTTTTCGACAATAACCTTGCGGTCCATGGGCACGGCCTCGCCGGCGCCAATGACAGTCGCCATGTGTCTAGGAGCGACAAGTTTGGTCGAGTTTGCGACCAGCGGTACCTTGCGATCGCCAAATGTGTAGCGCGCGACGTCACAATCACGAGAAGCCACTGCTTGGCGGGAACGGGCTCCAGGATATAGCGTTCGTCGGTCGTCTCAAAGTACTTGAGGTCGTGCTGCGACGGCGTCTCGACGACCGATCCTACCGCGTTCTCAGGGTGGTTGCTAAAAACTTGGCGTGTACCGGCAAAGTTGTAAAGGGCAAAGAAGAGCGCCGCTTGGTTCATGTGAGATTTTGCGGGATACTGCGTTTGGAAGGCTCTCGAGAGGGCTCGTGCGTGGACCAGAGTGCCACCGACAAGATCGACGACAAAGAGCCCGAGCACCATGTCGC